CAACGAACTTCCTCTGTCCGCCGCTCCGAATCAACGAGCCAAGATCCCCCACCAGCAGCATGATTACCGCCAGCGGCACTAAGACTGACAGTCGTCTTCTTCAAATCTGGGAGAACTAGAACCGTCTCGCCATGGTTACGATAGTCAACCTCACAAGGGATCGAGCGACGAGACGGCGCCATGGAACCAGCGGCATCGGTCGCAGGCGGCGAAGTTGGGAGTTGAAGTGCCGATGGGAAGAAGGTACGGATCTCAAGACCCGGGAGAAGGAGATGGCCTGGTTTCTGGGGGAGTAGTAGGACGGTGAAGCGAGTGGATTCGCCGTCGCGTGCGAGGAAGTTGCCTCTGCGGCGACCACCTATTTGCCACTGGTCTGGATTGGCGTGGATCTCGTAGGAACATTCGAGGGGTTGATCAGCGTTTTCGCGGGTCGTTGGAGAACACCAGCGTCGTGTGTGGCGGAGGCATAGCTCGGCGGTGATCATCTGGCCGACGGCGGCGTGGGTGGAGGGCCCCGAGTCAGTGGTGGGTTTGGGTTGGAGCTGGAGGTCGGCTGTGTGCACGACTTGGATCTCGGGCACGTCGACGGGGATGATGATGCGACGGGTTGGGATGGTGGGGTGTGCGGGGAGGGGGATCGTGGAGTTGTTCTGTTCCATATGTGAGTAAAATAGCTAGACATACTCGAGTTCGTTCTTACCTTGTGCCACTCCTTAAGCCACTGTCGCACATCTTCGCCTGGTACTTTCAAAGCTCCGAGCAGATCATCCCATCGCACAGCTCGATATGGCAGCATGTTTACCTCTCGAATGAGCCCAATGGCTTCCATGTCATTGGTGGATAGCTGCGCGCGGAAACTGCCGACAATGTGCGATGTGAGCAGCGCTGCGTACTGGCGGAACTGACTGGAGTCAATGGAAGCAGCGAACTGCTTTTCAACTGCATCGAGACACTCATCGTCGACGCACGTGAAGTCAACGCTCAGTTGAAGGCTTCGCGGCGTTGATGCGGCTGCATTGCCTTCATTGTGGCGAATTTTGTAAAGAAGAGAGGCAGGCTGCTTGGGGAAGACATCAAGGGCAACAGGGCCCGTGATGCTGGACTGCACGTCGTAAATGTCTGAGCTAGGTAGACTGCAGTTCATGATCCGAAGCGGGATCAGCATGGCCGGGCTGATGGTGAAACGCGAGAATAGTAGTTCATCCTTGAAGATGTCCTGCACGTTGACCGATATAGGTAGTGTTGAGACAACAGTGAATGACGCCGAGGAAGCGAATCGGCCTTGCTCGGTCTCATACCCGATCTCTGCTCGCGCTGAGAGGGTTGAAAACGCCTCCTCGACAGTGTAGGGGATACGCAGTCGGACGAATGAACGTGCCGGCAATTGCCCGAATCCAATAATGCCCGACTCGTGGTTGGCATCCACCTCGAGTTTGCCATCCACAACTTCTGTTTCTGCAAGGCGGAGTCGTAGGCCTGCAGTAGCTGGTCGGACACGGATCGTACCACTCTTGATATCATTTCGTCCGCTGTCAAGTTCTAGCTCCAACGTCCGCATGGCCTGGAGGTTAATAAGATGCGGTGACACGATCTTCGCCTGCAGGGCTTCGGCCGGAGGATAACAATAGATGTACGGCTGGTCGTGGACTTCCTCTGAGTCTTCCGTTTCCCGGAAGCCAACTGGCAGGGTGGAGTCTCGCCCGCCGTTAAAGTTAAAGACAAGGTTGCCAGCCCTCATCTCGAGACGATCAATGAAGTACTTGCCTTGAAGTGTGGTCTGCATATAAGTTAGTTACTGGTGTCAAAAGCAATCATACGAGTACTTACCGAGGAGTCAATCAAAATATGTGTTGATGATGATTTTACCACGAACTTGGCTGAGCTCTCAATCCAGTGCTCTGAATGCTGAGAGCTGTTAGCGCTGACCAGCCGAACCTTGAGATTGTCAATCTCGATCTGCTGGCCCAAAAGGAATCGCAAAGACAATTGGACCTGAAATCCATCCTTGTTGTCATACAGTCGAATGGCCGGGTCGACACGGAGGTCGGCAAAAAAGTCTGTCAAGGAAGCAGGGATGTCCTTTTGAAGAGCATTAGACGCTTCAAACAAATCGCGGACATGTTCTTCTAACATTTCCTGTTCAGTAGAAGGAATTGAGCCAGCCACGGACTTTTGCCGGACTGACAATTGCGCCTGCGCATATGTAGCAAATTTGGAAAGCAACCGTATCATCAACCGAACGTAGTCCTCGTTCCGTTTGAGCTCCTTCAGGCATCGCGCGTGGAGTTCCAACATGCTTCCTTCCAGAACAATCCAGTACTTAGAGCCGTAGAAGGGAGCCATCCGATAGAAATAGGAAGCAGCAGACTCGTAGTCTTTCCGACGATATCTTAGAATAGCGATTTCAGCCAGGGCCTGTTCGACAGAGTTGACACGGTTGGCTGCCATATGATGGCGGATTAAACGGTCTGTTAGATCTTCGTAGAGAAACAGGTAGGCATCCTTTGACTTTAATGCGGCCTTGAGGCCAGAGAGCTTGATGCCTACAAGCGACGATTGCTTCTCCTGAGAAGCTATTTGCGACTCTTCAGCGTCATCACCGTCCAATGAAATCTCCGCAAGGCCACTGGCCCCAGAACGATGGCGCTCATCAAAGAGCAGACCGAGGTTGTTCCAGCTCTCAGCCCAGCCCCGCCTGCGAGCGATCTCCTCGAGGGACCGCCGAGCCAGAAGAAGCAATTCCGCTCTCCCGGATGATAGCTGTTCAGAACCAGTCTTCTGTGTGGGAATAGGCACGGGCTTAGGGTGTTCCATAGTCGACCGCCGCTGCATCAAACCCACACTATCGGAGATATCCTGGGTCACTGGCCGGCCAGGTCGGGCAGCCCCTATAAGGGAACTAGAGCGGCGAGGTACATCGGCACGGGAATCTGCCGTTGTGACAGCAGCGGCTTCACTCGATTGTGCAACAGCATGGAGAGAGGATTCGGGGAGCATGAGGGTCGGAGTAAAGGTTTGGCTCAGGATCTGGAAAGCTGCCGAGAATGCCCATGAGGAGACTAGGTTGTTGATAATATCTGTCTTGTTATCATGAGGTACCTCCGCTAGACCGCATTCAAGATCATAGCGGAGGGTACGTGCAGCTAGACCGATAAATTCCGTTGCTCTTCCACAAATCTCAGCTAGCAGAATGAGGTTTTCGGGCTTCTTGCCTGATTTCGTCGCGTTGGCGTCTGCCTCAGATTCACTGCTGGTCAGTGATGGGGCTCTCGCGGCTCGGAGCAGTAGAGTTAGTTGACGGGAGAAGATGTATGTGCGGAAATCGAAGATAGAGATATCGCTTGCCAGGATCATTTCTCGGTAGGACATCTTGTTGGCATTAAATGGGAAATCCTTCGGCTGAAGCTCCGAAAAGAGAGTCCCTTCATCATCATTGCCGTCGCTGTCATCTGAAGCCCCAGTCTCCAATGCCTTTTTGGCCATCTCAGCCCAATTTTTACTGGTGACTGAGAGTGCACCACTATGTTGGTCCCCACTTCCATCGAGCTGGTCTCGAATAGCCGCATCTAAGCCAACGGCTAGCTCATCGTATCCAGCCAGCGCATCTTCGAAGAGGCCCACATTCTCGAACCCCCTGGCAAGACCTTCCTTAAGGATGAAGAACGTGCAGAAGTTCCAGCCAGGCAAACTGCGCTGAGAGTCTTTCTCCTTTATATCCTCCTCATATTGGGCCACGCGCAGATCAAAAGAAGCTAAAATTCCGTTCTTCATTTTATCGATCAGATCCTCCAATTGCTCGCCCAATTCAGGGGATTTGGTCCCCTGTTTCGGAAGACGCAACTGAGCCACACGATCCACAGCAGACTTAGACGACCCATTAAAGTCAGCCTTTGCCTTTTCCAGCACCGTAGTTGAACCACGACCCCATTTGGAGGTAGGTGTGGCCGCCTTCTCCGCAGCGTCACCGTCCGGTACCACGTGTAGGATAAGCCACTCGAACGCATCGTGCTTTTCCTGACTAGTGGTTGCGGGCTGCGAGCTTTGGGAAGACGCGTTGGCCTTGATCCATTCGCGAAGGTTCCGTCGGGCCGTCGACTTGTAGGTTTCGTTGTCGTCGCATCGGAGGAGATAAACTTTCAGGTATGGTGTCTGTCGCAGACCGGGGATCTGGTGTCTGCGATGGGCGACCGTGCCATGGACAGTATCGCTCGACGATTTGCGTTCGTCTGATTCTTGCGCAGGTGTGAAGCCGATGCGGAGGGACTCGATTGACCGCACGGGGCGGGTTGGCGATTTCCAGTGGAGATTCTTTAGGGGGAGCTTTGCTTCAATCACGGGCTGGATGAGCGGAAATAAACCCGAAGGATCTGTGTATTCGACTGTGTTGTATGGTCAGCGCAAGCTTCATTCGTCTTGATCACATTGGTCGTACCCGTTACATTGCTCGAAGCCTGCGAAGGGTCCATGATTTCCCGGGCGCAATACGGGAAGTGTCCAATTGTCTTCAGGACATCTCAAAACTCAAGGTACATAAGGAGCTTTAATGCGCCTGGAGTTAAGGGGGAAAGTCGCGGGGTGAGGGAGACCATGCTGTCAACAGCGGCCACGCACGGCCTCGTTTTCCATTTTAGTGCGTATCCCTCGCTGCTTTTAGATTTCGACCTACAACAGGACATTTTTTTTTGATTTTGATCTTGGTATATTTAGAGAAATATATAGAAAAATACAAATATAAGTTTACTTTATATCCTAGGTTCTATATAACAGTAGTCTGCATAGTGTATGCTTTTTTCTGCTTTTTTACGCCATCTACCTATAAAACCAAGAGAAATAAATAACATTAAAAAGAATCCCCGAAAAGAATATTAAGAAAGGTACCACAAAAACTCCACAGGGCCGCATAAGCAGCCAGCTGTTCTTGTCTAATATCTATCCCAAAAGAAAACTCTATACCTAGGTGCCAGTATGGCAGCATGGCCCCGGATCTATAGCGAATGACCTCACACCTCAACCTCAAACACCTTTGCTAGCACAGCACCACCAACTAGGACAATTCCTGCCTCTAGAGGCAGTCCAATTTGACCTGCCACAGAAAAAGGAACCAGGGTCTGATTTTGCGGCCTCACCATCTGTGGGTAGAAGTACCCAGTTGAGGTGACACCCAGCCATGCCATAGACCACGTTAGGCCGAGAGCCCTTTGCCACAGCGGTTTAGGGGCTGTCTTGATTGTGCCATTAGACTTTGAAAAATATTTCCAAAGCGCTTTGATTCCATCTTCGATCATGAGGCCTAGAGGGGCCGTGAGGAAAAATAACATGGCGCCGGATTCCTTTGCGGGGATTCCCTGCACAATATCGAGGACGAGATGCAACCCGCCCGAGCAGAAGAAAACAACAAAAACGTTCATATACCGCTGTAGCAAAGATCTTGGCCTTAGGCCAAATAGGTCTTGAGTGATGAAGGCACTGACAGAGGTCAGGGGATTTTGTAGCAATTGGTGCCAGAATTTCCTACGAAATGGATGTTAGTGTAAGACTCTATCTCTCCAAATAATGTGCTGTGAGCGAGCTTACCCCCAGAAGCCCCGTACTGTATCTGCATCCAGTGCTCTTCCGTACAAGGGAGGGCAATTTGCAGGCGAGTCCAGTCCAAGTCCCACGACAATGACCGAAAAGGCACGATGGTGGAAGTCGATGAGAATTCGGCTCACCACAAATCCAGCCATGAGGTTTGAGATGATGCGTTCAATCCATTGTTCAGTTGATATGTCCCATTGAGGTACTGGCGGCAACATCCCATTTCTCTCTTGCTCCAAAGCTTGTTGCAACGCAAGTGTAGCAAAGACATCCAGAGCTAGATATTGCCAAACAACAATGGCTATTTGACGAACCAAAAAGGGACCCCGAGGAGGCGTGTTCATATCACGTCGTTTATAATATGCTGGCTGTGGTGGGGCATTCTTTATTTGCCAGGAAGTGTTGATCCCACGAGGGTCAGTGAAGAGCCGAGTCGCGGCATATATTCGAGCCACAAAGCTCTGGCTACTTCCAGCAGGCAAATCATTACTATCTTTAGGGTTGATGAGTAACAGGTTTAGGCATTGGAAGATGATGGTCACGAATAGACGAGCGCATTCACACCATACAAATCCCGGACCCAGCGCTGTAGCCACTGGTATAGCGCGATATACAATCAAGATAGAGCATGAGATCGACAGATACCGAAGAACAGATTGCTTTGTTGTTGAGATTAGGAGAGTCGCGGGTATGAGGCAATGGGCAGCATAGAGAGAGAGAATTTGCACAATGTTGGAAGAGGCTGACATGGCCCGCCTATCCCCAAACAAAAGGGGGAAACAGTGGACCTTTTGACGGGATGTTGATGTTGCGAGATGTGATTTTTTTTCTCCAAAGCGACGATCATTTCTTATTTTTCGTGCATTAGATCAGCCAATTATAATTGAGTCCCGGGTGGCATAGATCGTCCGCTGTATATGCATACTAACTTACTAAGGCCATTTCCTAGTTATATGCAAGTCTAGAAGTTAATGATAGGGGTCTAATACAAATATAGACTTTTCTAATAAGAATAATATAGTCCTCGTGATCATGAAAGATAACATAGATTCATCACCAACAACTTTCAAGATATATAGATCTACTATATTTACTACATTTACTACTACATATATAAACTATGGGCTGGCCAGGTCTGTAGCCCGGCTTAGGACATATCACCCAGATAGCTAATATTCTGCGCGTGCCCAGGAACCCTATTATAAAGATACAATATGATAAATCCAAAGGATTTATCATTCCCAAGACCGATATATAAGTAGCGCACAACAACACCGCGGAGGACAATAATTCGCGTTAACCTCGGGGTCTACTTATTAGATAGATAAGTTCCAATCGGTTTCAATACACCTAGCTTAGCTTTTCTTCCAATTTTTGGCGGCTAGGAAGTTTAATGTTATTAGAAAGTAGAAGAGCGACTCCGAAGATATAGAATATAATCTCCGAATGAGGACTTGGACTACCTTTATATCTTTTATCTATAATATACGCGCCGAGGGCATCAATTTGTGATGAATAACTATGAGTGACTGACTCTTATAAGGGTGCTAAACATAACCTGACTAGTTGATGCTCCAACACGAGTACGATTCCTCAGAAGACCACGCAAAATCGTGCCCTTTTCGCCATCACCTCGAGTTATATACACCACATTGGACGGGTATAACGAATTACTCTCTAAGGTTTAGTCTTGACCCTTCGAGTTTAGCGCTTTTAGTTCTGCGTTCCCCTCTGTAGCTCTATAAAGTCGTCTTCACCGCAACAATCTTTCGCTATCGTTTCGCCAATTACTCCTGCTTTCTTACCATCTGATTCCAGTGCGCACCCTGCCAGTGAGGCATTTTTTTCATTAATTGAGCTCGCTGAGTCCCCACCGTCCCTTGATCGCCGACAGGAACCGATCAGTTCTATGTAGTTTTTCGAGTACTCTACGCTACCTTCCCCCCTGGTGCTCACAATGAGTTACTTTTAACTTTGGTCTGCTATAATCATGACTCGGCCTGAATGAATTATCAATCAGCGAGCTAATTATTAAGTACGTACCCAAATATAGGTATTTAGCGAGCCTTTAAATCTGCCTTAGGGGCACAGTATGAAGGCAGAACGTTGGAACTTTAATAGATAGCATCCAATTTATTTCGTACCAGGGAGAACCTAGTGAGACTGACCAGGCAATATTCGTTCTTGCTTGATGATTATATATCTTCATAATGCCATGTTAAGGCATTATAGTATCTCCAAGTGAAGAAGCCCCTACATAACTCCCAATAATAAACTTGGAAGCTTTTCTGACAAGCTATAGTGTGGTCCACGCGATCATAAAAGATAATGTACTTTTCAAAATCTACGTATGATAGATCCGCTGTATTTGACACAACTTGTCATTATGAGAACATACCTATATACGTTGGAACACTAGCGTTCCACGACGATCACATGTATTTATACATATATATCTCTCTCATTAAACCATTCTACCGTTCTACCATTCTACCATTATTAGCATCCTAGTTCCTGGATACCTTTTATATCAAAAACCGAAATGGCAGAACCAGAAACACCAAAAAGCTACCTCGATATTGGGGGTAGCTTCCTCAAAGACTTACCACGTTCAATCAAAAGATATCCATACGAAGGAGAGTGTTCCTTCCTCCGGATCTTCAATCTAGAACTTGATCACCGCGAATCTTCAGGACATGAGAGAAACGACTTCTTCCTGTTCCATATGAATCGTGAAACGATTGAAACCCTATTCAATTCAGACAACGAACCAACCACCCTTACACGTAACTGTTCCTCTTTTGATCTCGATGAGCAACTTGTCCTAATCAAAATGCCTTCTTTCGAACATTCGTCTGCAAGCGGAGCCGTGGATGACGCAATTACGGCAACTATCTCACCAATGGGGCTATTTGGCCGCCTACACAAATACTCTCACGCGACTATCCAAGCGACAACGAGAGGAAAGCAACCTGACCATGGCTGGGGCCCTAAAAGGCCACCGCCTGGTTATCCGAGGAGGCCATCGGTTGTTCTAGAGGTTGCGTGGTCTGAATCAGAATCAATATTGAATTCTGATATTCGATTCTGGTTAAACCCGACCGACGGAAATGCTAGGATTTGTCTAACTCTAAGAGTAGACAGACACGAACCAGCAATCCGTATTGAGAAGTGGACACCCCAGAATGGAAGAGTCCATTGCTCCCAGATTATCCGGGTCACTAAAGTGTTAGGTCAGATATGTGTCACAAACCACCCTCTCATCATACCATTCGAAGATTTATTCCTTCGTCCACCATCTATACCTGCTGAGAGAGATATCGAAATCTCACAACAAGCCTTACAAGGAATTGCAGACACAATCTGGGATTTTCAGGAGTTCTAAGCCCCTTCCTCGGCATCGATTTATCGAGCTCCACCCTGGATCGCAATGCCTGCATAAGCTGTCCCTCCACAGATCCTTGATTGTAGTCTAGTACATGCGTGATATCATTACAGTGGCTAAAGAGAGACAAACGAAGACAACCTATGTTCAAAGAATTCTAATTGAATGTAATCTACCAGAATGAGTAACACAATGCATATGCAAATCAGGGATGTAGGTATAACACTGCATACCCGAGTGGCGGATATCCGACGGCCGGCCCTCTACGATAGAGTCATAAAATTCAAGTTGGAAAATTACATAGATGCAAGGGCAGTTATACTCAATCATGCAGATTCTATATAGATAGTCATACCGCGTCATTATGGACACAAATAAGGAAAAGACAAAAACTCGACAGTTAGTCCGTCGTATAATGGGGAAGGTTCACTCGCTCAGGAACAACGCCATAGAAATATATGAGAGAAAAAAAAAACAAAAGAAAAAACAAAAATAAAATGCCCTAAATGCCCATTTCCACAGCCGGCTGTGTATAGCGAGCTTTCACAAATTCAAAGCTGTCCGTGACGCCTTGCCAAATCCCGGGAACGTAGTTTCGACCCCAGGCACAAATAACGAGAATAAGAAGAGGAATCTGTAGAAACGGTGTTAGCTGTGTACTAAACAGGAGAAAGGAAGCCAGTGGACATGTTTGCTTGCTTACCCAGATGAAGTATAGGTTTCGGTCGCTGCCTAGACCCTTCATTCGTCGAGCCTGTTGCTCTCGGAGATGCTTTTGCTGCTCGCGCGAGATGACATTGCGCCCGATTGTGATATCTTTGATATCGTCCTTCTCAACTTGAGCGCGGGATGCTGATGCTGACGCTGAAGCCGAGGCCGAGGCCGAAGCCGAAGCGGCGGCGGCAGCACTGCTCTGAGCTTCGAAGTGTTGATCGATGGCTGCCTCTGTTGCGGCACGGAGCAGACTGGACTTCTTCATGTCGGACTCATCGGTGGCATCGGGGTGCGGGAACAACTCATCATATGAAGGTGGTTGGTTGGGATTGGGCGCGGAGGTGCCCTTCAGGTAATCCCACCAGCCATCCCGAGCAGCAGGTCGGTGAGGGACAAGGTTGGTTATACGGCGCATCATTCCTTGCCCTTGGTAGTCTTGGAGGGCGGGCATCGCAGGTATCGCGGGCATCGCGGGCATCGGAGGCATCGGAGGAAGTGCCGGGAGATTGGGGAAGGCATTAGCCACGCTCTGCTGGAATTGGTTGATTTGAAGAGCCAGCTGGTCACGCCACGCGACAAGAGGTGCTGGCGGAGCAAAGCCCTGAGCATCTCCGGGTGCGATGGTTTGTTCGTTATTGTCCATAATTTGGGGACCAATATCTTGGTGCATACTAGACCGACGAGAAGAGCCGAATTGAAGAGGCTCTGAGTCAGAATCATCAGTAGTTTCCTCCTCATCGTCCAGATCCTCAGAGTCATCAACATCATGACCAAGAGAGCCAGATGCGGAAGACGCTTCCCACATCGAGCTGAGCGAGGCCGAGCTGCTTTGCCGGCGGCGCGACGTGAGGGATCCAACGCTGCGCGACCGGTAGTGGCGAGACGGAAGCAATGCGGCTTGGTGCGCGGGGAGCGTTGTCGCTAGGTCAGCGGCAGTGAATCCTCGTACGCTACGAGTGTTAGGATTAGCGCCCGTCAGACGCAGGCGGTGGACAATGTGAGCATGGCCATTAAGTGCGGCCAGATGCATTGGCGCATTGCCCGTGTTGTCTTGCACATCGGGGTTTGCACCTCGAGCCAAAAGGCCCGCAACAAATCTGGTCAGTCCCAACGACGCCGCAAAGTGAAGAAGACTCTGGCCAGTGGCGCTGCGAGAGTTATACCGTGCTGACCGGGGACTATCGTCCAAGTCGATGAATTCCAAGTAGGTTAGCATCTTGGAGTCGAGATCGCCAAGTTTGCCTTGGTTTTCAAGACCCGGTACTTGGCGTTGCTGACCCCCAGAGGAGTTACCGTTACTTTGCATGTCTGCCTGCATGTTAAAGAACGCGTTTGGATCGCTTCCCATGATTTGTTGCGCTGTGTGGAATGCATCCGCTTGGCTGCCCAGTTTCTGACCAAGAATGTTCAGTGCCAAGCGATACATTTGAAGTTCACGATCATCCACATAGCGGAAGAACAGCTGCTGTTTGGGCATGATGGGCTGAGGCTGCTGGACTTGCCCGAAAGTTGGGTGCTCATGTTTGAATACCACAGAGACCAATCCCGGCTGAAGAGCAGGAGGGGTCAGGCAGTTGAGGCACTTGTCACCCCAGAATGTAGTGGTAGTAGCCAAGGTGTCACCGAAAACAACCTCCATGCCAGGATAAAACCCGCTTCCCAATAATGTAACCTCAGTACCACCTGTGATGGAGCCCTCAGCAGGTACCAACTTGTGGATCACTGATGGCAACCGATTGGGGGTATTGTTGAGGGGAGGCCAAACCTGGCTTGAGGAACTCCCACCAAGTCCCATGGGAATATTTGAGTCATGGAAGCCATTGCGATTCGAGCCACCTGGTGTCCCTGGACGACTGGGATGGGTGGAATTGGGTGTTGATGCCACTGCTCCCCCGGCCAGGGTATCCAGACTTTGTCGCTGGGCAGGAGTCGGGTTGAAGAATGGATTGTTGTCATTGTTCTGGTTGGGAGTTGGCGGGCCATTTCCATATTGAGACATAGAGGATGGGTTTACGAATGGTCGTTCAGTTGGTGAAGCGAATCCACGAGCAGCCGCAAGTTGCGCAGCATTGCTCATAGCCGCTGCAGATGACTGAGGTGTTTCAAGTCTAGTCATCGTCAGTTCCGATGGAAGCCTTCCGGAACTGCTGTGTTTGCGTCGTTTGCTCTGTGGCCCTTGGAAATCAGATGGGGATGCTCCTCGAGACAGGCTCCTGGACGTCTGGGGCAGATTCCCTCCATTTGTTGAGCCCGGAGCCGCAAATGAACTGGGAGTAAGCTGATATTGAGAGTTGAACCTTTGTTGAAGACCCTGCAGATCAGTTGGCGACTGAGGCGCACCGAAAGAATTTTGCCCGTTCTCGGGGTTTTGGCCCGAGGGAAACACTCCAACTCCCGGTACTTGTGTCCCATCCGCGAGGGATGGCGAAGGGCCAGTTGGCGCAGGCGCGGATGGAGCTTGCGTCTTGTGGTCGTCGGTTATCATTATCGAATTTGTGATTGCCTGCGCGACCACGTTGTCCAAGTGATCCTTCACAGTGAATATAACCTGGAACCCGAGCTTCTCATTCTGGTGTCGGCAATAGCAAGCAATTCGCATCGGCAGTTCCACTTGCATTGATCCTGGCGGGACCGATAATCTATCACCGTAGCCACCGCTGGCGTTCTTTGCTGGTTCAGTCCATTCCTTGATCTCGCTGGTGTTAAAAACGATGACACGCTTCTCTTCATCCTTTTGAAACAATTCATCTTCCTCGGGCTTCCTTTGCTTCTTCCGTGACGCACGTTTCCGTTCTCGCTGTATACACCCGCTGCAGATTTTCACATCACCCCCGTCCAACGGACGTTCGTCATCCGAAGTTGCTTGGTAGTGATCGCCCCTTGTCCGTGCAAATGCCCGCTTGATCTTTTCTCTATCTTGCATGGCGCTCGTGCATACCAGGCTTGTAAATAATTGAAGGGTGTCGCGGGTAGGTTCGGTTGCAGGAGGGGCAAGAAATTTGAGTTTTGAGATGGTGTGCGAGGGAAGACGGAGTTTCTTGACGCCGGTAGGTAATGGGGAGAGGGTCAATCGGATTGGAATTTGAGTCTCAACGCGGGATTTGAGGGAAGTTGGATGCACAGTAAGAACAGGTTGTAGAGAGTGCGCATTCATTTGAGGTTGGGCCGGGGAGGAAGCGAAGTTGACAGGGAATTGGTATGATGCGGGTGAGCCGAAGTTCATGGAGGGTGATAGCGAGGCGTGAAGAGGTGATTGGCGATTCATGTTGATACCTCCGAAGCTTTCTTCTAGAAGTGACGAAGGCGAGTGCCCGCCCCATTGCGGAGCCACCCTATCCATATCTTGGGGCATTGCAGTCGAGTATGGCGATTGGCCATTAAGTCCGAAAGCGAAGAACGGAGACCCGGGAGCATGAACCTATGAGCTGTTAGCATTGCGCGGAAAACAAGGATGCTATTTGAAAGACTGACCGAAGGCACAGCATCGACCGACGCCAGCACAGCATGATTGCTCGAAGGACTCCAGAGCTGGGATTTTGAGCGCTTCTGGGGTCTCGGGAGTGACCCATTGTCCGTTTTCAATGGACTAGGGCTACTCGCTGCACTTTCAAAATCAAAGGCTGCGTCCATCGCTTTGTTGCTGACCTCCAGATCCGGGTCCATGGAGAAACCACCATCCATAGGAAAAGAAGGATCAATATTGAACGGCGATTCCTCCTTGACTGACGATAATTCCGGGCGCATCCAGTCCTCCGACGGGTAACTAGTAGAGGCCAAGGGATTGTCACTATGCGCTGCGGAGTTTGTCGAAGCGACCGACGTTTGTCGCAGGTGATTCCGTGGCGATTCGGAGGAAGAACTGCGACCCGAATCATCTGGCGATTCGGCTGGCGAGTCTGCGGCAAGAGTCGGCACCTGCCTCAGGGGGTTTTGGTCTTGGTATGGCTTCGAAGGCCCCGATGCGCCATTCGGACGGGAAGTTGTGGCTCGAGCGAATAGGTCGTCAAAGTCCCCCCCAGCGTTTTCAGTTGACATCTCGAGTTTTGTGGGGTCCAAAAAGTCCATGTCGGCGTTACGGAAGGTGGACTCCATGTCGTCGTCCATGATGATAGGATCCAGAGCGGAAAATGAGGGCGAAAAGGGTGCCTGCGCTGATCCCATGCTTCATTCGTTTTGTGAATCGTAGTCGATTTGAACTGTCAACCGCCACCTTCACAACAATTATGTTGAATCGCGTGTTGAAAGGGATTCTCGGAGACGGTAGGGATCCAGAGAGTATGACAATCAAGTCTTATCACGTTTTAAAACCAGGGCCAGTCTCCGATACCATGGCCCTGAGAAAGGTGAGATTGAAGGGGAAAGTCACTGCCTTGTCGGGTAATCTGGAAAGGGGAGCGGGAAAAGTGTGACCAAATTAGGTCGGCAGAACCTCAACAATTGCAAATCAACAACTTTTTCACTGCTATATTGTGGTGACAAGATATAAAGTAATTGATGTTAAATTTATTTTTGATTGGAAAATGATGATCCGTTTTTCTTTTCAGATATGGTTATGTCTAGAACCACCCAGGTATAACTTTTTGTTCAAAATAGACACCTCAGGCCCCACAAGGCGGTGGCCAATACGGTACACACCATACACGCTCATCCTTTCCCGTATCTTCCATTTGATTTGCTGTTGATCCTGCTTCTCCCGTCTGACAAGTCCGAGTCTTATGAGATCTGTTCGGTCATTAGGAGACTCTGTATGACACATCTTCGTCTCGCTTTTATGACTCTCTGCCTATTTAGAGAGAACATTCGGATTGATCCCCGGGACTACCTGCAACGATCAAGTCCGTACATGCATAACAAGGATAACACAGAGGCCTGTGCCAAGCGCACACAGACGCTTTGGGTCATCATGCCTCGCAAAGGCAGAGATTGTGGCACCCCGGCTAGCGGCTGTGTCCTACCCTTGCTATGCTGGAGTAACACTCCCTTGATGGTGTGCAGGCCTGGTTATCAGTTGTGGGTGTGCTGCTTACTGCGATATCATATCAACACCTTCAGGCAGGTGGCACTATGATACACTTGCAGGTTGTGATCGTCCGACTCGCCCTGGCAAGGGACCTCGCGCAATGCTCTGCTGTAAACTCTCAACATGACTTACAATTGATATCAGAGTCTTCGTAGATAGTGGATAGTCTGTTTTCTTTGGGTGTGCTCCGTACACCGTGGAATTGGTTTGACTGTCCATGGAAATTTTATCAAAGATAGCACGGGGCGAATGGCCCTGATGGCCCTGCATATATGGAGGTCTAGTTCCTGGGCAATCACGGCTGAGACTGGCTAGATCCGAGCTAGACTCTCATCGAATCTTCCAGGTAATCAACAGACGTCATTGAATTAGTTCAATAACATGTTCCAATAAGGTGAAGTCAAAAGTCCTAATATAATTAAATTGATGCGTGTCAGAAGCGTCTAAGGTTGTGGCTTGACAGATTTCACGATTTGCTTCTACGGATTAGTTTTGGCGCCTTTGCAATTTAGGCAATTTAAAGTGCAATTTAGTCCAGCGCTGAATATGGACCGCTCGAGACTTGAGCCTTAGACTCCTATCCAGCTGTCATGCAGTCGGATATGATGCCGGTGGAGTATGTTTCAGAATAATTCTCTAAGCGCAGAGGCTTCCCCTGGCGTTTGGGGGAAACAGTCAAACGGTCTATATGATTGTTCAAATGAAGCCAGTTGGATTGAAAAGAAATAGCCGTTGAAGTTGGAGGAACTTATGGCCATATACTCCGTACCTGTTTCAAAGTACCTGGAACACTTTACGGAGTCGACTAGAGACGATCGACCTGTCAGAATGACACTGTGGGGTAACAAAATAACAAACTTGAATTCTCCGACCCCTGAAGGCATCGGATTTCGACGAGATTTCCCCGAAAGCAAACCCTTTTAGCGGAGTTATCATTTTTTTTAAGGGGTGAAACTTGAATTGTCACAGACAACCGCCGAGGATCGACAGCCACCAACTAGAGCTATGCCACAGAGTCAAACGCCCCTCTTTGATGCTCCTTCGTGATCCTGATGGAGCATAGCTTAATTAGGTTTGTTCACTAGTGTAGCCTTGGGAACAAACGGGCGCTTTGAAAAACCACATGCTTCATTTATCTGTCACCTCCTAGATGGAGGTGTCTCGGTCGCTCACAATTCTCCACCTATGGGCGCACTCACAGACTAGTGGAATCCTTATCCCATGCCGGAAACACCTTGAACTTGGTGATGTCCTCTGTGATGAAGATTTCTTGGCAGAGCGGTGCTTCTGTTGGAAAGGAGCTACGATGCCGAGGACCTGCATATATAAGGCCCTGGCATCCAGGGCCACTTGATATTTCTCATCCATCCTTTGCATTCCATTCTTTTCAAGGTCTAGTACCATTCATTCTCTTTTTTGGGTTTGACTTCATTGACTGAAGTCCCCTTTTCATTCTTTTTCACTCATCTTTTGATACTACGATCCTTCGATCCTACGCTGTGCGTTTTTATCTTTCTCAAAACTTCTTCAAGATGTCTGTGTCAAAGATTGCGGGTCTCCTGCTTAGCTCGGCCGCCATGGTCGCTGGTCACGGTTACGTGTCGGGTGCTGTTGTTGATGGCACCTACCACGGTGGCTTCATCGTCGATACCTACAACTATCAGGCCGAGGTTCCCGAGAACTTCGGATGGGCTGAGACTGCCACCGATCTTGGCTTCGTCGATGCCACTGGCTACTCCGGTCCCGACATTATTTGCCACAAGGATGCCACCCCTGGTGCCATCTCCGCAGAGGTCAAGGCCGGTGGCTCTGTCGAGCTGCAGTGGACTGAGTGGCCCGAGAGCCACCACGGCCCGGTCATCACCTACATGGCTAACTGCAATGGCGACTGCTCCAAGGTCGACAAGGCCACTCTCGAGTTCTTCAAGATCGACGAGGCCGGCCTGGTTGACGGCAGCAGCGCCCCCGGTAAATGGGCATCTGACGATCTCATTGCCGCTAACAACAGCCGCACTGTGTCTATCCCCAGTGCCATCGCCTCCGGCAACTACGTTCTTCGTCACGAGATCATTGCCCTGCACTCCGCTGGCGAGACCAACGGTGCCCAAAACTACCCCCAGTGTCTCAACCTGAAGGTCACCGGCGGCGGCAGCGACTCTCCTAAGGGCGTCCTCGGCACAGAGCTCTACAAGGCTGCCGACCCCGGCATTCTGGTCAACATCTACACCGCCATGGACTCCTACAAGATCCCCGGTCCCGCTCTGTACACTGGCGCCTCCTCCGGTTCCTCGACCACTGCTGCCGCCCCCACCACCACCGCCGCTGCCACTACTACCGCGCCTACTACCGCGGCCTCAACCGTGAGTGCCCCTGTCCAGAGCTCCTCTTCGTTCTCGCACCCGCACTTCACTCGCCGTCCCACCCGCAGCCCCTCCGGCACCCCTACCCCCTCATCCGCTCCTTCATCTGCCCCCACCTCTGTTGTCTCAACCTCCACCGAGGCTCCTGTCGTGACCGAGATTGCCACTACCACTGTTGCTGCTTCTTCTGCTTCTCAGGTTACTGACGAGCCTGCCACACAGACTCCCAGCAGCCCCTCCGACGTCACCGTCACCGTGAGCGCCCCCGGTCAATCTGCCCAGAGCTCCGTCCCCGCTGCCGGTGGTGACGCCTCCGAGCCTAGCTCCACTTCCACTGCTACTGCTACCGCTGCTCCTACCGCTGCACCCACCGTCCCCGCCGGCTCCGGCTCCGGCTCTTCTTCCGAGGGCCCCAGCGACTTCGCCGCATACCTCAGCTCCCTGAGCGCCGAGAAACTCCTCGAGGTCATCCGTTCGACCATGAAGTGGCTTGTCTCTGACAAGAAGGTGCACGCCCGTGCCCTGTCTTACTAAATGCTCGCTCTGAGCGTTAGATTTATAGCTGTGGATCACTTTACATCTAACTCTATATATCTTCTTATTGAACGTCTTTGAAACCTGGATCTGGTATCCTGTCTTTTTGCCGATTGTTCGATTGGGATGTTTGTAACAAAACCGTGTTACGGATTTCTTTTATATTCTTTTTCCTCCTTGCATTTTGCACCTAGGAGACGATAGGCCTGCTTCGGTCTTTTTTCTACTTTACCTTCATGAATGGAATTGCTAGGCTGCTCAATACTACTATCTCGTAGATAAAAAGCTATGAGATGTCCACTTCATTTGCTCCCCTGTAGACAACCCCTCAGTTCAATAGAGGAGGATGGAATCGGGGCAAACACTGGAATTCGTCGGTTGAAAGTGACCGAATGCAAGCAAAATCGAAATACATTTCTGCAATACAACATGATACACATTGTATGCAGAGAAAGGCATGAGCGCTATCGAAGTGCATCCGCAGAGGTGCTAAAATTCTTGGCAAGTCGGCGAATTAGGGCTATCCTCGAAACCCCCGACTCTTATGCCAATTTACTGAGAACAAGAATAGGCGGCCACTCATGCGGTATTGTCATGCATTTTTTTGGTAATCTTTTTCGATGTCAGATATTTCTCTCCCTTCGTAGTTTTATAGCTAGAGAGGTGGAAAGGCGGTAAAGGGGATAAGCCTTACAGCTAGCGATCTGATAGATGGGCTGGGCTGGTCCCCACATCCCAAGCGGCAAAGTATATAACTAGACTGTCTCATCAGAAGAGCTAGACACAAAGAATCTCCCATTGGGGGAGAAAGCCAGCGTTTTACGGCCATTTACCAGGGCTTCAGATTCGTAAATGTCACCTGTATCGATATTGCGAACGGCAGGATCTCCATATTCATCAATCCTTGCCAGACATTGCTCGCGGGGCAATCATTGGCATATCAAATTCGACCATTAACATCTTGTTGCAAATTGCAGCACAACAAACGGATCTTCTAGATAATAACGAGCCTAATCATAGACCCGCCAGTGCTAGATATCTTCAACCTAGAGTGTGCCAGTTTAGCAGAGAATCCTACCCTTAAAATCCCTCAGGGATAGTAATCTCAGGTAGTACAGACGTTATATACCAATGAAGCCCTGGAGTACAAAACAGCGTGGGGGCACGTGGATATCACGAACTCATGCGCTGTATAAGTTCTCGTATCATTCTTTGATCTCCGTCCACCTGGTATGCGATCAATTCCATCTGTAGCAAAAGAAATCCACAACTTCCAAGCCATTCGAGACTCTCATCGAGAAATCTACCTACACCCAAAGGAATCCACGATGTCAACACCGGAGGATAACGATACCAATAGAGCCGAAAGCAATGAAACCTCCAACCCAGGACCAAGCACTGAGCCCCCCATCTCCGGCATACGCGCGTCCACACAGCACCATGCAGACAATACAGGTCGCGCAGATCCTACACGGCGGACAGAGATCTACACTGGTAACCCCAACCCCAGCCACGCGAGTCGTCTTACAGACGAGGAGCAGCAGAGGCTAGATGCACTTGCGGCAGACTCCAACGGCGGAGCGATCTTTGTTACATATGATCTGGTGCACAGAATAGATACGCTCATGGCGGATGGGACCCGTCGTACGGATGAGGCTTTGATGCAGTATTTGTTTCAAGATGATACCTGGGAGGCTGTTGATCCTGGTAATATCAATGATACGGGAACACGGGGGCCAGATATGAACGGGAATGGCAATGGGAGGCAAGACGAGTGCGAATTCAAATTGCCGAATGGGACGGAGGGGAGCCATGAAGAGGAATTGAGGCAACAGAGGGGTGGTTAATCATGATGGGTCGAAGGATTTTGGATGGTTTTATGGCGATGGGATGAGGAATGTGTATATGGGAAGGTGGTTTAATTCATCTCATCATGTTTCTTCATTTATAGTATGCTGCAGGTGATTGATTTATCATTTGTACAGGAAAAGCGCTCTCTATCTAGTGGTGAGAATAAGAAATGATCTTATGCGTGGCGATCATTTCTTCTTCTTGGTCTTATCCACAACCTCGATCATCTGTGGCTTCAATCCACGACGAACAAGGGCTGTCTCAACGGCCTTTCGCTGGTCGCCTTGAACCAAAACTTCCATAATTCCCTTGGGGGCACCAGTAGCCTGCGTGACACTAGTGCTACCGGCACACTTCTTCTGAAGCTCCTGTGCCAAGAGACTAGGAATAATGCCGAAGACCTCCAGAGTCATGACTTTGGTAACGGTCTTGTTACCTGTCCGTTTCTCGAGGGTGATAGTAACCTTCGGTGCAGTGCCTGCTTTTGGCTTGACGTCTGCAATAGTTTGACCGGTTTTCAAAATGACATGGTATGGCGAGAGCAGCGTCTTATCATCCATGAGTCGTTTAAAAAGACCATCGCGAGTGACCTTGCCGCGTGCAAGTGTCCCTTTGTCTTCGGTTGACGATGAAGTGAAGACGGAGTTCGCGAGGAATGGGTTGAGGGTTATGATGCGCCGGTTCTCTTTCGAGATGATCGGCGGATTTTGGGATTCAAGATATTGATCCAAATGACTGGATACATCTGAGTATTTGTAGAAGTTATTTGTGTCGCTGGCAGGGAGGGCAGGGAAAATGTTTGGCACGAGCTTTCCTGATGGCCGATATAGACTTTGCACAGTGATCGTCTGGCCCACCGACGGGTCGGAGCCATCCGTTCCTGCCGACTTTTTGCCCTCAGGCGCGGCCGCCTTGGTGTTCTCCAGGGCACGTGGCGAAGGCAGTCTGTACGGTACAAATCGCTGTACTCGATGATCCTCAAAGTCCACATCCAAAATGACGGTCTCTTGACCATTACGTTCCTTGGTTTTGACAAGCTTCGATTTGTCTAGATGTTTCATGAACTTTTTGACGTTCTTCCAACTGGTTTTCTTGATGTTGTAATGCTGAGCCTGTTGGGGGTTGTACACAGGAAGATAAGGAGCAGTGAAGTTGGCTATCAATGCGGAAGCTGTGATTGGCAGTGGAAGGCCATGGTCGGTCGCTGAGGGATTATCCTGCTTGAGCTTGTAGAGGGCGTAGACAAAGGCACTAACAAACGCTTCATCGATTTCTATTATTTGTTAGTATTTGGTTGGTTTCATCTCAAAATACAGCTGCTGGCTGATAAGGGGGGGTTGGTGGCTCACCCTCTGTTGTTGGTGCCTCATCTTCGGCTACGGGTTCTTCTGCCGCAGCTGGGTCATTGCTTGGTGTGTCAATGTCCCCCGATGCGGTTGTAGCCGCTTCATTCTCGATTTTCAGCTCCTCGATTTGTTCCTCAAGGCCCTCAGTTTCATCCTCGTCCCAGCCCTCTAAGTACTCTGGAGCCGGGCGACCTGGCAGTGAGGCAGAGCTCCACGCCCAAAGTTCATCGCCCTCCCAATGCAACCCACGGACCGCATGGCCCTTCGTGCCTTGCACCTCTCCCAGTGCCGAAACATCGATCTCACAAATGCCTACAAAACGTGGCACTGTGTGGCTGTCTACACTTGCGACCGCGACAACGGCGCCCTTGACCGCCCTTTCGGGGAAGGGGGGCTCATTCGCAAGGCCCGGTGTCATTAAGTCAGCTCCACCATGGAGCTTCCCCATCACGAACTCCGGGGTGTAGAGTAAGGGAACTATGTTCGGGTTGTGCCATAGTGTATAGACAGTTGGGTATAGTTGTTTGTCGGCCCCCGGGCCGTGTTCTAGCTTGAACCACAGCACCCGCTCATCGCCGTCGGGATGTGTGCCAACATACACGATGCCTTGGAGCTCGCGAAGGTCTGGACCAGCGGTGGTTGTGAAACGAGCAGTCTGGGTGTTATCGGGCAGGAGGGCATTTCGGATCGATGTAAGGCTCAAGGCGGGGGCGGATGCTGTGCTGGGCGTAGAGTCTGCTTTGGTGGGGTTTGAGGAGACGGGGATCTGATAGTCCTTGATAATTTGATCAGCGATCTTCCTACGATCGGAAGACCGTAGTGGAGACAGATTTTTGATCTATTGTATATTAGCATAGAGTTCTTTGCAGAGCACCTAGCAAAGCTTGGAGGGGTAGTGGGGTCATTTACCGTTGGCTTTTTTTTGAACATGATTGTGAGCTCAAATCTAGAAATCAATAGCGCTGAGTATAGTTGGATCCAAGGCTAACTGAAGAGCTGGGGAGGGAGAATATATTAAAGAGTCAAGAGGTGACGTGCGAACAAAGAATCTCCCAGAGGTCTCCACATGACCCAAAGAGGAAAATAACTCAAAGGTTTCTTAACACTTATTATATACTATACTATACGCCTGTGGCTCAAATTTAAAAGAAGCCTGGTTTCCAGGAATTCGGCATGGCTCTTAGTCCCCGGGTCTCGTTTGAGACTGCTTGCAAAACTTCGGCGATGGAAGCCCTGCGTTCACGCAATTTATTTTACTTTTACCAAAGGAGCTACAAGGAGCTGATGATGCAAGAATTTTGCTACCACGGTGAGATCTGGACTCTGCCTCGCAGGTCAGTGGAGATGTCGAATTGAAGTCCTGAGAAGGATGAATTTGATGTTCCACTCCTTGTACATCACCACGTAGTTCTATCGGTCACCCCATCAGCTATGCTGTCGGGTTATATGAAGAATGTTTGCTTTATCTTGACCATAGACATATGGGTCTTTTTTTATCAATGCCCAATGAATGCACTCTATCATTATTTCGCTCTCTTGTTCCATATCTTTATAGTAGATATGTTAAAGTTAGGTTGTCTCATAGCTAATGATTGTAGTTTAATCATAGTTTAATCATATTACACATTCTGGCCTGAACTTTTATATAAGGCGGTTTGGCCGAGTGGTCTAAGGCGATTGACTAGAAATCAATTCTCTTCGGAGGCGCATGTTCGAATCATGCAGCCGTCGTTACAATATCGTTTTTATTTTTATTTCTGCCAAATTGACGGGAACCGACTGATAACGTATCCGAAGTGACGTCAAGCTAGAAAGTACATACCTGCGTAGGTAGGTATGTAGTTAGAGTCAAGATTAGAACGTGAATTCAATTTAGATCAAGTTCGAGGCATTCATCTAGCATCTAAATCATTGCTGTAGCTAGCATAAGCATCTGAGAAAGCTATGATTAGATGTCAATCCTATAGTAGAGTGTATAAACATTGGGGTTAATAGAGCGCAATGCAATCCGTATTGATCTATCCCTAGAGAAGAGTTTCAGGGAATTTAGTTCAAATATAAGCGATTAAAGCAAGAAGAAGGCATCTATACCCATCTGTATCAATGATAGCAGAACAAAACAACTCACAAACACGCGAAAAAAACCAAGTCAGCGAGCTATAACCCTTAGGAGGACACAGAAAGCAGGCCAAGTTTAACAGCGATGGCTGTAGCTAACGCTTTGATGCTCATCTTGGGTGCCAAAAGCTCCTGGGACGCGATATCCAGACTGTATTGCTTGAAAAGCCAATTTCGCAGCTCTGCTCCAATCATGCTGTCAATACCGTAGTTCGCAACCGAGCTGGCATCGTACTCAAAACTTTCCAATGACACGAGCAGCATTCCAGCGAGTTTCTTCATAACATGTTGCCCGATTGTATGTAGCATGGCGTCAGGTCCCTCTTCCTTTAGAATCTTCATAATATCCCCGTCACCAGAATTGCTTGATGGAGAACCTTGACCCATTGACTCAACTGTATGGCGGATACCTTGGAATCGTGCATCGTTATACCAGTCAGCATCGGCCGACCCAGAAGCAGTGAGAGCGACTTTCAACCGGGCAGGCTCCATGCCTAGAACTATCTGAGCATCGCCAAGAACGTGCAGGCTGTCGATTTGGAGGACTGGCTGCGCCATCGAAACTTCAAAGCCGCGCAGCATCTCGCGTTCGTCAATACCATACATTGCTTTGCGTGTCAAGGAAGCTTCAAGACTCTGATCCTCCGAAACCACCCCCACATCAAGGATCATTGGAAGAATAAGTGAGACACCCGGAAGACCAAGCTGGTTGCGGTGCCACGCGAGGCCATCCAAATAGCTATTACCAGCACAGTAGTTGACTTGACCGGGATTCCCGATAGTGGCGGAGATAGAACTTGTCATGACAAAGAAGTCCAGTGCGTGTCCCTGCAGCACCTCGTGCAAGGTACGGGCGCCGTCCATTTTGGGAACCAGGGCAGCTTTGAACCTATCATATGACATGCCGTTGTATATCCCATCCTGAGTTTTGTGTCAAAACGAATTAAATGATAGTAAAGGGATCTGGCAGCTTACCTGTAGTACCATCGCGGCATGTACTACCCCGCGAATAGGCCGTTGGGATGTGACTTGAACCACAGCCTCTGTGACGCCTTTGACATCCGAAGCATCAGTGCGGAAGACCCGCACCCGAGCCCCCGCTACTTGGAGAGACTTCACAAGCTACTAAATGTCAGCTTTATGAACAGAACGCTAATGCAAGTAATATCGTGGAAACGTACTGATTTGGCTTCGGCCTTATCATCACCCGATCGAGACAGGAAAACAAAATCCCTTGCTCCCCGTTCCATCATCCATGGCGTGAGACTTCGGCCAAGGCCACCAAGACAGCCGACCAAAAGGTAGGCAGCGTCGGGTATAAATTGGAGCTTTCTCTCAGTAGGATAAGTCTGGTATCAAAGCCTATTAGTAATAAATTTCATCAACCACAATATCGGAAAGAACTGAATAATATACCTGGACTGCAAGATCGTTGTAGTTGAATTGGATAACATTAGATCCAGTCGACCAGTCTGCAGCGTTAGCAATGCTTTTACCAAGCGATGTGATCTTGTGCTCCAAGGCGCCTTCGAACAGGAAGTCAGTTTCTTCTTCAAGCAAGTGAAGAGCACGTTTGACCAGAGACCCCAAGAGTGGACCCTTATTTTTGTAAAGGGTCTCAATACCTGTTGACTGGAAAGAGGCACTGTGCTGGAAAGGAATGAAATCAAGTGCTTCGTCCACAACAGCACCGTTGAAAACAAATCGGCCCAGCGCTGGGATGGATCGCCATGCGTCCCGACTAAGGGTGTCCCATTTATGGCTGACAATAGATACGGACGCGGCTTGCTTGGAGGAAGTTTGAAAAATCTCACGCACTTGATCCACATCGGCAACTTTGAGTTGGAGTTCAGCGCTAAATCCTGGCGCCGAGGAAATCAATGCCCATTGCTCTTCATCAGCACAGAAGATGGTGAGTTGAAATCCGAAAGATTTCTGCAGCCGAATGGCCGCTTGAACAAACGAATAAGGCGCCGGAAGAAGAATCAGATGGTCTGCCTGGCCTACGACCTGGGCAGCTCCCAGAACAACATTGATAGCGGACACAAAACCCGGGAGAATAGCGACTGTATTTGCAGCACTGAGATTGGAGCTTCTTTGGTGGTGAATGCCAATAGTCATCAACGTAGTCTTCACAAGAGTGCTGAGTGGACCGGAGGTATATGCGATGCCAGTCGATCCAATTAGTGAGCTATCCACCGCAGCTCCAACCCGGATAATAGTACCTGCAACTAGCCGCGGTTCGACCGACACGATTCTCAAATCGCGTTCGAAAAATTGTGCTTGCTGAACCTGAAGCTCAAGTTCATGCGCGGCAATATCAACACGTTTAGTGGCATGGAAGACAAGGTCTCCCGCCACCGGCTTAGCCACGAGCAATTGATTTTGAGGAAGGGGTGTGTGCTGAATCTCTTCATCTCCTGGACCGGACCAGATATCGTTCAGGTGGCCATTGGGTGTCACCCGCGGGATGTGAAGGATGCCATCATGGAGCCATAACTCGGTGTCCTCTCGCGAATCTTTGGTCGGAATTCGGCCTAGCAGGCCAGCAAGTGTTTCGGCAATCATTTCTAGACCTTGATTCTGATCCACATCAAGAAGAACAATTCTGGCATTCGCTTGCTCGGATCGAATGGCGCGAAGGAAACCCTGGGACGATGTTCCCTCAACGCACTGGCCTTCATTGACGCCAGTGGTCAACCAGATAGTTGGAACCCCAGACTGAAGAATCTGCTTCAGGGAATCCCAGGTCTGTTCCGTCAAAGTTGACAGCAGTCTGCCATCCACATCGTGGATAAGGAATACTTCGTTCGGCTGAGGGTTTAATTCAGCCACCTCTGACAGAGCCCACTGTTGCACTCTTATCCCTGCCCTTGAGTCCAACTGCTGCCCCAACGAGGCGGACAGATACTGATGGCTATCATCCCGATAGAAGGTCACCACCCCAGGTGTTTGCAATGCTGTCCAATTGGTAAGCTCAAATCTCTCTTCAAGTTTATGCGAAAAGACCAGAGAGACACTAGGGAACGGGAAGAGCAGTTGAGGGGTTGAAAATCTGGTAGTTGAAAGCTGCTCAACAAAGTCCAGGGCGGAAGAAGGAGGTACCAATGCCAGCAAGCTGCCGCTTTGTGCCAGCAAGGGGCTCACGGCAGCCAATAGCTGGGCACCCTCGAAACCGCTGTGTAGTCCCGCAATCACAAGATCTGCAGGGGCAAGGTTAAGATTACTCCACTCTCCAGACGAGTCCACTGTCACCTTGGATATATGAAGCAGAGATTGCCCTACCGTGAGGTCGTCCAGATACTCATTTGATTGATCGAGTATAGTTACAGCAGTGAATAGGTTGATCTGCGAGCATACTGCCTCCAGTAATTTCTCACTAGGCCGACCTAGGACAATCATATGAGCCAGAGAGGCGCGATGTTCCATTAGTTCAACCACTGCAGCCGCCGAGTCGGCATCTGACTGCACAGACGGGTAGGCAGCTACCGCCTGACCTGTGTCCAGTGTGGAGAAGTCAGGTTTCCAAACAGACTGCATGTAAGGAGAATGCTCCACTGTGCCGTCTACCTGCGGAACTGCAGCCTCATAAGAGACACAGCGGAGTTTATGGATATCAAGAACTAGCTGACCCGAAGCAGTAAAGAGCTTTGTATTGAAGTCGAAGTAGCGGCCGCGAACCTCCTGGTCGGACCAGGCCACAGCCTGGCCAGTATGTCCAATGTCTTTTTCGTCTGGGAACCAGAGGAATAACTCCTCGATCTCAATTGGTACAACACCGTGAGACATCTCCTGATGCAAGCCCTTGTTAATTGAAATGATGACGAGCTGCAGACAACCATCGACGGTAGACGGATGCAGGACGTATCGGGATTCGCCGGTAATTAGTCCGCTCTCTGTGTTGATTTGTACTTGAGCGGCAGCACGGTGGTCGTGGCCGTTACTTCGAATGTTGCTCAATAGTTGGAAGCTCGGGCCGTATTCGAAGCCGACATGGTGGAAGGCATCATACCAGCGTTTCCCCGGCGCCTGATGCCAGATTTTTGATGTGGATATTTGGACGGGGTGCTGAGATATTTGGACGGGGTGCTGATGCTGTCTCGGAGTAGCCGCAGAGCTTCCTATCGTCGATACTCGCCCCTCACAGTGCAGCGTCCATGCACCATCACGAATGGATTCAACGGCAAATTCATACCAACTACTTGTGGGGGTGTTCTCGCTCTTGCTTTCTGTAATTGCTGAGAGCCGGACTTGAATCTCAATTCCGTCATCAGTATCTGGGATCACCAAGGCAACTTTGATGCCCACATCACGGAACGTAATGCCGGGTATGGAGAGCTCTTTGCTTTCGCACACTTGGCGCAGAGCCTCAGCTGCTACGGACACATAGCCGGCAGCGGGGAAAATATCGGCGCTTCCCAGCTTATGGTCTACCAACCAGGGAATATCTCGGTGCCGAAGGACATTGCGCCACACGCACGAGCGATCCGACATGCCTGCAACTCGACTACCGAGTAGGTCATGACGCGGATGCGTCATCTTGCGGATCTCTTGGCTTGGGCGAGGCTCGGCCCAAAAGGTGTTATCGTAGTTCCATTGGTAGGGAGGTAGATCCACTAGTGTTCGGGGGCGGCGAAGATTTAGATTGGCATCCATTGCATTGACATGGTGAAGGTCAAGGGGATAGTCCTGAGCCCACAGGAACCCGGCAGTCTGAAGAAGTTGGACAGCACAGTCCTTTCCTCGAACCAAGGTGGGCAAGTAGTTGAACCGTGCCATTTCCTGTACGGCCTTGTGAATCTGCTTAAATGGTCCACTGAGGGCAGTGTGTGGACCAATCTCAATCATGCTGATGCTCTCATCCCCATTCAAGACACCTGGAATGGCGGCAACGGCTGTGCTAAAGCGCACACGCCCACGAAGGTTGGTACTCCAGTACGACTCGGGGACCGTGTTTGCAGTAAATTCTTGGCCGGTGACTGACGAGACCCAAGCCACCCGAGGCAAGAGTGGCTTCGTATCTACTATCTTGATGGCATCTGCAAGTAGCGCATCATATACACGCGAAACAAGGTCCATCTGAGGGGAATGATAGGCCTTGTCTGTTTTTAGCTCTCGTGCAAAAACCCCATCTGCATCCAGTTTGGATTTGACTTCCTGGATAGCTTTCAACAAGCCACTGAGGGTTATGCTGACAGGACTGTTCTCACATGCGATGACAATCCCTTCTTCAAGGTATGGCAGTACCTCTTCTGGCCCGAGACCGACGGCCAGCATGCCGCCGGTAGAAGCATACTGGGCCACAGTCAATCCGCGCAGATAGGCCGCAATGATGGCGACAGGAGCAGAGATGCGCCCGGCAGCATACGCTGCAGCAATCTCACCCGAGGAGTGGCCTACAGTCACTTTGGGTGCGATATTCCACTCAGCAAAGAGGTCCACTATAGCAATCTGCACAGCAGTGCACACTGGCTGAGAAAATTCTGCCTCGGCCACACGGCTAGCCTCAATAGGAGCCAACAAAACATCCTCAAGTGTCCAAGCAGGTGTAGGCTGGAGGGTCTGAAGGACTTTATCTAGGCGTCTGATGGTTTGTCGGAACGAAGGAAAAGCTCGGGTTGCTCTAAAGCCCATGCCTGCCCATTGGGCCCCCTGTCCTGTGAACAGAAAGCCAACGCTGGGTGTCGCCTTTGGAGCAACCCCATAGTTGAATTGAGTGGGATCAAATGCATCCACGAGGTCGGCCTCGGAAACTACTGTGAAAGCGCGTTGGGTGAGCTTTGTGCGATGATGAAGCAGCGTGTAAGCCACGTCTGCTAAGTAGTAGCGATCAGCGACCTGGGCATGTGCCACGATGTTCCGCGTTAGAGTCGTTTTCTCGTGAGCCGAGAAGCCAAGAAGGAAAGGCCGAGAAGTTGAGTGGTCATATGAAGCCTCACACTTGGCTTTACCATGCTGCTGGTAGTTGGGAAAAAGTGAATCAATGCTCTCCACAATGACATGGCCATTGGTGCCGCCATAACCGAAGGAAGATACACTAGCACGCCGCTCAGAGAATTCTGCAGGCCACGGAATGGTGTTGGTGTTGACCTTGATATTCCACTCATCCTCCTTGATTGCTGGGTTGAGTGTCTTTAGCCCACAAACGCCCGGAATGACCGCAGCCTCTGTCATCATAGCCGCCTTCATCACGGAAAAGATGCCACTAGCGGCCTCGCTATGGCCAATGTTTGCCTTAATGGCTCCAATAAGAAGAGGCTTTTCTAGACTGCGGGTATCATTCATGGCCATCGAGGCAGCATGACTTTCAATGGGATCACCCACTGGTGTACCTGTTCCGTGACATTCGAAATATGCGGTACGATCGGGGTTTAGACGCGCCTTTTCATAAGCAGAGCGCACGACACGCTCTTGACCACATTTGCTTGGGTGAGTGATACCCATTCCAGGCACTTTGCCGTTTGTGTTTACAGCAGAGGAGCGAATTACGCCTCGAATAACATCTCCGTCGCGAATGGCGTCGGACAGTCGCTTCAAATAGAGAGCACCAGCGCCTTCCGCACGACCATAACCATCAGCCGAGGCATCAAAAGTGTGGCAAGTCGAGGTCGGTGACAGGATTCCCAGCTTTGCAGTGTTCATGTGCTGATCGACTGTCATAATCAAGTTTACTCCTCCCACAACAGCGGCACTGCAGTCTCTTCCACGGAGTGTGTGGCAGGCGTTATGAACGGCATAGATGGACGAGGAACATGCAGTATTGATTGTAAAGCTGGTAAGGATGGTTAGATCTTTCATTCCCCAAGTAAAGGTAACAGCAGACTTACCTTGGTCCTTGCAGATTGAAAACATTTCCAATGCGAGCACTGATGAGGCCTGTATCCACACCCGTGGCAGCATAGTTGTGGCGAAAGTCTGGCTCGCGGGTCGACATCTGCTGGTAATCACTAGTGAAACTGCCAACGAAGACAGCAGTGTTGCTGCCCGAAACTTGATCCAATGTCAAACCAGCCGACTCGAAGCACTCATAGACGACTTCGAGAATCTTACGCTGTTGAGGGTCCAACCACATAGCCTCAATAGGCGTCATATTAAAAAAGCTGGGATCGAAGCTCTCAATTGGTTTGTTCAAGAAGTAACCTCCGGGAACATTGAAGCTCCCAGGGCGCTCAAGGTTTGAGTGCAGGTAGGCGTCAATGTTGAACCGCGATGCTGGGACTCGTGGGGTTTGGACTGATCCTTTCCGAATGAGTAGATCCCATAAGGAGGATGAACTATCAAGCCCCCCGGGCAGGCGGCAAGCCATGCTGCTAGAAATTGTGCTATATAGATTTAAGGTTGAAGCCATCTTTTTATACACCTCGTATATGACTCTTTGGAATTTTACAACATGACTGTTGATGACTGTAAGCCTCCGGCCTAACGTGCGCTATGATGTGCTGCGAGATATGAAGGCTCGGCGCTGGGGCCTCTCTTCCTACGGCTTCCAAGTTCATCTCCCAGAAAGAAAAAAGGGCAGAGATCTGCGGACCTTGAGTTTAGCCATCCAAAATAGGATTTTGCCCTGGGCAGGTGATAGCAGAAAGATAGTAAGCTATGCACACGGGGCCGCCTTGCCCCGGGGCTCGGGTCATTTAGGACTGGAGCCAGATATGTATCTATAAAACCTACTTGGTACCTGGCTTAACGTATAGCCCGGGAATAAGGCCAATCCCCTGAGATTCTCTCCCAAACCCGCCACAAAGAATGTAATGGCTTCGTCAATGAGAATTTTGCCAATCAAATGAAGAGTTCAGTCTCTCAACCGAAAGCTTCGACTCGACCTTCATCTGTATTGGGAATTTTCGGGTTTAGCATCGCATTTGCCATGATCGTATCTACTGTTGTCATCATGATCTAACACCAGCATCCAGTTAGGACTTGACTTTACTAGAATGTCCAGCTACCCCAGGACAAATATGTGTATTGATTGTTTCTGACAAGTAAAATCTGCACTTACCACTTTCTACTCAAGTCTTCCTAACATCAACTTTGCTTCAGTGTACTAATTTCTTAACAGTTAGCTATCTAAAACGGGTTGACAGGTTGACAGGTTGAAAAGTAGACAGAAAAGGCCGATCATTCGCTGCCCGAATAAGTATTCTTGTATATGGGTTGAGATACTAAAGTGACTTTGTAATCATTTACCCCCGTCACTTTTTGACAAAGTTCCCGCTACTGTTAATCCTCAGGAAATTCCTTGTATCCCTGACCAGAAACAAAGGTATCCATCCACGGCTGGCTAAGCTCCCAGTACCGCTCCGCATGCGCAATGCCGCTAATATCACCACTGGCAAAGTCGTCATTAGCAAGGTGTTCGTCACCATAGTAGAAGCTGTTTATATGGTTAGCTGAACGTTGAATAATCGTCGGGATAGATGGGAGAATTACGTTGGCCTTCAAAGGCAAGGGTAGCATTCTCGATGACATGGCCTAAGGCAGTCTTCCCAAGGCCAAGGCTGACTAGACAAGGCATAGGAGCCATGTCAAGGCCGTTGGCGGTGTAGATGAACGACTTTGGTACTTCGGCTGGAAGGGTCTCAAAGCCTATCACACTTCTGTGCGGTGAGGTAGGAGGAATCGAAAGAGGTCGAGGTTCCGCGGCTCACCAGAGCGACCTGGTATCCTTGCGGTAGCCTAAGTTGCAGATATGAGAGATACCGGCCAAAACAAGAGGGACCTATCTCTATTTATGAATACAGATGATATATGGGTAGCACCATATACCGGAATAGCTTTTAAATAGCTCTTTAGTCTCTTGGTTTCTCTAGAGAAACGGCCCCGGAGAGAATCAATTTCATTGACAAGCCGGCTGAAGTTCGCTGTACAGGATCCCGAATCACACCATGCTCTGCCAATCTGAACGCATCAAACCCGGTAGAGTGAACTTTATCCCGTATCTCAATGCACCAAATCATGAAGAGCAAGGCAAGGTTCGGAAACTAACGATGCCGCTGTCCGACTTGTCAGTTTCTTCTGTAGACTAAAAATCGAACCTGGCTCATTGCCATATATATATTTCTAAATATAAAGTTAGACAAGCTCACATACCCATACTATATCTAATGCAGTCTTCCATTCTGTTTAGCATCATAAATTACATAGATAGCAATTTCTGGGGAATTATTCCCCTCGAATTGGGGTTTATAGGGATCTTAGTAAAATCATAACAAGTATAGTCCCTGAAATTATCACAGTATATTAGTTATAATATCATTGAAGCTCCACACGGATCTATTATTCGGCAGTCCATATTCCAGGCTTTATACTATAACGGCTATATAATATGTATTAGCTAGCAATTGGATACATTAGTAGTACCGCAGTACCAGTGGACGATATAATGCGGACTCTCTCATCAAATACCCATTGTGATGCGAGATATGGAATTTTCACCACAGTGTTCTGTAGTTCGCGCCTAATGATTGATCACATCCAGGTTTATAGTTAAAGATTTCTCACCAGGAGGTTGATAAATGAATTGCAGTATGTATTATTCCAAAATGCTAGAAACTACATCGAAGGCAGAAATATATACAAGGAATGGATCCCCAAAGCCAAAAGGATCAAAACCCCAAATGGTCGCTATGCACCGCGATACTCAAAAATCGCGTCTGACAGATGAACAATGGTTTTAGTAAATCGAATTCGTAAAATAGCAGGCGGAGAAATAAAAAAAGTCGTCCGATTGTCTCGGTGGTATCGGCTTGACCGTCCTCTCAATGTGTCCAATTCTTTGGGAAATCGACAACTCGAAAACGCCACTATGTGCATATTGAACCGTATTATGTATATGTGCATGTGATGCAATTTCCGGAAGGTCTCCGGCTGGATAGGTGTCACCCCTCTGGCGGGTACCTCACCAGAGTCTAGCACCAGGATTCTGCTTCTGGCTGAATCTATAATGCCGCCTTAGGCGACTTCAGCTCGTCGGATCGTCGGGACTAAACTTCCAGCGTCGGTGGTTCTCCGCAATCCACCACTGGGAGATATGAGCGGCCTCGCTAACCCACATCGCGGCGTCGGGCCCGTACCGTGTCTGCACAGCATCATATAGGGACACGATATTCATGTCTTCCTCGGGATGGAACTCGAGTGGGTCAGCGACGACATCGGTGAATCGCCACGGGGCATCTGGGATGAGCGGCACCACGAGACGGTACGGTTTCGCGGCTGCTCGCATAGAGATCCACGTTCCTCCAGGGTTCATTGTGGAGAAATGCCATTCTTGCCTCTTATCTTGCTCGGGGATAAGTGGGCGTAGTAACGACTGGCCCTCGTATAAGGGCAGCAGGTCCTTCAATATATGTGCTGACTGTTCGTTGATAGAGGATGTTTCGATCAGGATATCGAGGATACTGGGGAGGATTTGAGTCGATATGACTGCACTGCCAATTTCGACTGCGGGTAGCTTGGGATGGGCGACGAGTAGGGGGACGTGGAAACTCCCGACGTGGGGGTCATGGTTGGCCGTTACACCACCATCATTCGGAAGAGATAGACCGCTACAATCGAGTTAGTGACCGTTTTTTCGTCCCACCTTTTTCTCGTGCCCTGGGAGAACACAAAAAAATATCCAGAGAAAGGTTGATAGGATGTAGAGAGATAGAACTTACTGGTCACCTGCCATAACAAGCAGGGTCTCGTCAATGACTCCAGCCTCTTCGAGAATCTCAAGGATGGTGGCCAGCCAGTCATCCTGATACTTGAGGGTATTTAGGTACCGGTTCAACCGGTCGTTCCATCCATGGCCATTCCCGAAGTACTCCTGGTAATCACCAGGCTTGAACCAAGGAGTATGGGTATTGTGAGTTAGATGGGCGATAAAGAGGCGAGTGTTGTTCTCCTTGGCCTCGGCAAATGCATCCCGCATATAGTTCTTCAGCGTGTGATCCGGATGACCATATTTCTGTTCCTCCTCTGGCTCCTCTGGGATGTATTTAGCACCGTTTTCATTGATTGACTCTTTTGTCGTGATATCTCTGAATCCCATGGCAGGAGTAAGCCCATCCTGGTGATCCCAGGTGCCATAGTGGGACTGCATCCACATAGAATGCCATGGCCAAGAGGTCCAATCCTCAGTCTGATTGGTAATGTTTGATTGTTGGTTCAATGCGTCGAATATGTGCGGTAGGCAAGGCTGGTAAATATCGTGCAGGTACTCAAGGTTGCTTTGAATAGCAATGGGGCTCACACCGCACATAGTACCTGTAAGACTCTTCATGGTGTATGTACCGGAGGTATAAGCATTTTTGGCGCTGAGGCTACCATAGGGGGTTGGACGATCCTCGTTCTCGTTAAACCCAGTCTCAAATCCGGTGAACCTTTCGGCGGTGGGGGTGAGATTGGCGAGTCTACCCATAACCTCATCTGGGATTTTTCCGTTATAGGAATTTTTAATGTGCTCCATAATGTAAGAGTCGGAGCGGAAGGGAAACACGTCCTGCCGATTGCTCTCCAATTTGATGACCATAACGTGCTTGATTTTCATGTCTCCGCTGTGGAGCACATCGCGGATGGACTCTAGGAGGTCGTTCTGGAGGTTGGGAAAGTGCAAAGGATCTTTCATCGGGTTGTAGTGTTCATACAAATAGTCCTTGGGTTCGGTGTTGTTGAAGTGATTGATGCGGAAAGGAGACCAATCCGGGAAGGCAGTTGCCGCATCGCCCGCATGTAACCAGTCAAATGTCGGGAAGGTGTCTAAAGCAGTTTTGCCTTCTAGCCAGTTGAAATCGCCCGGCAAGGATGCAACACTGCGCTGAGAAGACCCAAATTTGAGGCCGCCAAACGGCGCAAGAGGAAGAGACCCGGAAATGAAACTGTAAACAACATCGCTGGGACGAATGAAACGGAGGCAAAGTAGAATTACGCTGCACGATACGACGATAGCGGGCTTCAACAATGCCCGGCTCTTCTGCGCAGGCGGGGCTTGAGGTACATCCAGCAACGAGATGGAGTCGCTATTGTCATCACCGATGTCAAAGTCATCGATTGCAATTTGTTCATAGGTATCTGGGTGTGGCAGAACTTCCTTATTCGGACGGAAGTAACGGTATGTTGCGGACAGCACTACACCCCAGATCCTCAGGAAAGCCCCGGTGACCCGGGAAAGATAGGGTGTGGCATAGAATGCACCAACCAAAATCGACGTCTCGAGAAGGATAGCAACGAACAGGGCCGACAAAACAAGTATGGCGGACGGCTTATCCTTGTGGAAGTCGTTCGATAGGCGCCAATGGATCTCCATGCCCTTGTGGATGTAATAGGATATGTTGGCGGAAATCATCGATGAGGTATATGCACTGAGAGATAATTAGCAATTCGCCATTTGTCCGTGAATCCGAGGACCTACCTGAATAACACAGTGCACAGTGCTGCTATATCTCGAAACGTTCGCCATTCGTACGATCGGGCCACGCCACGTGCGCCCAGCACGAGGAGGATATCCAGGAAGAAGAATGTGGGGCCCCATGCGAGAAGGGATAAAACCGTGAGCGAATTGAGATGGACGTAGATGTGGAAGACTTTGGAGAGTAGGATGGAGATGAAAATGATCGAAAAGAAATATGCGCGACAGGCTGTCCAGCCTCGGTCAAGATGGGTCTGGGGGGATCTGGCGACTGTGAGGGCGACAACGGCTGCAGATTCAAGCTTTCCGCGCAGCCGCTGGCCGAGACCCCCTTGCAGCTGCCAGGCAGGTTTCATGATAATATATATATAAACACTGGAATGCGTTAAATCATGCAAAAAATGTACCTGAATTGACTAAACAAAAATTTCCCCATTAAGGTAATGGAGGAAGAAAGTAAAGGAGCCTCGAAAGAATAATGGAAGCCTCGAGAGGCTCCAGGGGGCCAAGAACGAACCTTGGAACACTCCGAATCTCCACTTCTCATGCCAAGGCATTGTGTGGCCAAATTGGATGTTTGGATAGAAAAGATCTGCAGGTCTGTCTATCCTCATAGGGCAGGATACTTCTATATTCCCGCCCCCGCCAAGATAAACATAGTAGGTGAGCACGCGAGGGAATTTATTATTCTTTAACATGGAAATAGATAAACTACATGGGAGCTACTTTTTACTTAGTTCATACAATGTCTATATACAAATAACTATGTGAAATGTGAAACTCAGATTCAAAAGGCGTTTGTGGAGATCGCCTTGGCAAAGCCACACGACACGTACCCCCGGAAGGATGAGCTCGGAACAAGTTAAAATCTTTTCTGAGATCCACATCTACGCCATAAAAGTCGGATCGGCTATAACGACCTTTGCACATATACGTTGGCATCCCATATAGAGGATTTGGTTCCGATGCTATATTCGATGGAGATATATGGGAGAAACTATCCTTATACATATCTCCAGGTCATCAACAAGAACATAACTCTTGTTTCAACCGTTTATGTCTAGCTCTATAAGTGCAATACCAACTACGCAGTGCTTCTCAAATGGAAGTAATGCCATGTAGGTAAATCCCAAATCTAATAACTCAAAATGTAACATACAATATCAAGAATCAAAAGTTTACCACAAGTCTCTGTGAGACGGTCTATCACTTAAAAAATCTTCAATCTCTTTCTGCACCTACTAGCTTAAGTAGGAATTTACCTAGATATGCCTTGGATGTCCATATGGACGCTATGGCTAGTCGGGACAAATACAGTTATGCACCCTGGTTCAGAAGCAGGGCATTTGCCTGTGATCTTGGCTGCTGTGCTATCACTAGCTGATGTCATCGAGGGAGCCACGGCCTATGGACAGTATTACGATAAAAATAAAGAAAATTATAAGAAAACCATAGTAAACACAAGCGTAAGATTGTAACGCAGGTAGGATATATGTATAGGTTTATAAAAGGCTTAAGGAGTGTTTAGTTAAACGTTGGGTTTCCACAGCAAGGCTTCTAACCCCAACGGGCGTAGGGGTTTGATTTATAAAAGCTGTATAGCGGTTATGCATGCAGGTCTTGACATTAGCTAGAAGCAAGTATGAAAGCAGATATAGAAACATGGCATGGCTGTAGGGGGAACGAAAAACTTGACAAATGACAGGGAGCAGAACGGTAAGGCAGTTTTTCTGACCAGTAGTAGGGCGAAGTCTACTGAGTAGGCAGGCGGAATTATATAGATAGTAGAAAGGAAGAGGCTCTTTACACATTAGCGAGAGATAATTATATTTGCGTTTATTCAAAGTGGTATTGACCAGCCTTTTATACAAACAAACTCCAATGAAAGGAGCGTATAGAAGCATACCAAGGAAGCAGGGCGGTCCCCCAGTGGAGATCAAACCCCACTGCTGCCATCGAGCCTTATACGGCGCATGTAAATGTCCAAGCCATCGGACATCCGCCGATAACCCCACCGGCACCCCGCCGATCATAAAGACGCAATCACCATTAAATTTGGGCAACATCCGCCTATCCTCATCCGTAGTCAACCAAAATGCCAGTTTATCACATCGGTAAGTTTGACGCAGCCGAGTGTCAAAGGGACATGAAAGAGCCTCGGTCACTAACCAAGCTCCAAGTCCTCTTCCGCCTCAAGCCCGGCGTCACCCTCGCCCAGATCGCCACCTGGAAGGAGACATGTCAGGGAATGGTTGGGAAGATCCCTGGTAGGTGAAACCCTGAAGTTCGGATTGAGACATAGTCTCATAGAAACCTCGCAATAGGACTGCTGTCGCTGCAGAGCGGTGCCCCGCTGCCGATTTCGATTCCCCGTGCCCAAGGCTTCGATATGGGACTGGTTGCCGTTTTGGAGACGCCTGAGCATATCGCTACCTATGCGGTGCACCCTGCTCATTTGGAGTAAGTTTCCTTCGTCGGGTTAGTGAGGAGCGTGGGCTGATTCGCTGACACTCTGAAGGGTTCATAAAATGCGAGAGGAGCTGTGCGATGATACTTTAGCCTATGATCTAGAATTCTAGGCGTCTAATATATCATATTCGCAAGTTTAGTCCTGAGGTACTACCATAATAAGAGGAATTTTGAGAACAGTCCGTCCAAACGGCTCATTTGTACATATCAAACCCTAGGCCCCGGTCAATCGTAGCCACCGAGGCCTACCTAGCCAACCCATAGATGCTCGTAACGAAATGACATAACGCCGAGAAAAGGTTCACCCTCTATGAAATAATCGGAAAACAGAGGCTGGATCTCCAATCCGCAATACTTTTTGAATCAATCCCGCCGATTGACCGAATCAGAGATCAAGAATTAAAGACAAGACATTTCATTCCGCCAGTAGATACCTTATTCCTTGGCATCAACCTTCTTGGCAGGGTGATCGCCACCGTTGGCGCCCTCATCCTCACGGGAGCGCTTCTGGGTGCTCTGCACGACCGGGACACCACTATAATTGAAATTAGCACTTCTACGCTCACTAGGAACATCAGATCAGTTCAACTTACCGAGAGTCCTTCTGAGCCTCACGGGGAGCCTGGAAGCCATTCTGCTGGTCCTCGGTGCGGCGTTCGCGCCAGTCACGACCATCGTCACGGTCGTTACGGTCACGACCATCACGGCCGCCACGGCCACGGCCACCACCACGACCACGACCACCGCGACCACCACGACCGCCACGTCCACCACGGCCACCACGGCCGCCGCTGTTGCGAGCGCTGGAGGGGTAGACGTTGCCGTTCTTGATCTCCTCGACCTTCTCGTCACAGTACTCCTTCTTGCTCTTGAACTCGAGATCGGTTCCCTTCCACTGGGGCTTCTTCTCCAGAGCGAGGAATGCCTTCTGCTTCTCCTCAGACTCGAACTCAACAAAGATGCTGCCCTTGAAGGTCTTGTCGTTGTGAGTGCGGCGCAGGCGGATGGCGTTTGTGGGACCGTAGGGGGCGAAAAGAGCCTCGATGTCGAGCTGTGTAGTGGGCTCTTCCTCACCGAAGCCGAAGCCCTTGGCGTAGATGGAGCGGGCCATGGAGGCATCTTCGAAGACCTTGATGGCCTTGGAATCGTGCTCGTTCACCGACTCGGGGAGGGGGACCTTGCGCTTGATGGCGGTGTCGTTATCAGTCAGCTCGACGTTCTCGGCGGTCTTGAGGGCCTCGACGATGGCGCTGAAGGGTTGGAAGCGGCGCATGCGCTTGAAAGAGTGAAGGAGCTCAAGGGGAACGGCGTTGTTGGCGCTGCCGCCAACCTTGGAGAGCAGGAACTTGTCCATGGGGAGGTTAGAGTCGGAGAAGTAGAATTCGACCTATGGTGTGCGCGTTAGTTAGGGTCTAGGGAGGGATCGTCCCGATTGTCATACCTGCTTGCGGATCTGCACAGGGTCGTCGGTCACCTCCTGGGTGGAGGGATCGAACTTGGCGTTGTTCTGGCGAGGGCCACGGCCACCGCGGCCATCGCGCTGGAAGCTGCGGGTCTCGCGCTTCTCAGTCTGGGACTCTGTGGTCTTCTCCTCGGCCTTCTCAGACTTCTCTCCGAGCTTAGCAGCTTCGGCGACAATGCGGGCCTCATCGGCATCCTGAGCAGGCTGCTCGGTGGCGGCTTCCTCCTTCAGTTCAGCAAGGACATTCTGAACATCCTTCTCAGCCTCGGTGTTGACAACGGGGGTCTTTTGTTCTTCGGCCATAGTTGCGAATTGTATGTGGAGACTATTTCAGATGTGAAAAAAAATGATAAGCAGGAAGATTCGACGCGACGGAGATGAGTCAGAGAAAGCAGAAAGTGGGCAAGGGATTGGAGGGGATTTATCGATAATCTGGGAAGATATGACAACAATACCTTTATAAATTGATCAATGCGCTATTTAGAATACTATTGCGCTTGTGACAATAACTCGCAGCGGGGAGAATCTGGGAATTTTTTTTGAGCTCAATTGGCGCCTGAGGCAGAGATTAGCCTGTGATTGGCTAGGGCGGAGTCGAACTATTCCATTTCGGGCAATTCGACTTTCTATACATTGTCTTCTATTGTATGGTATTCAAGAAGTTGAAATGACAATAGATGAATAGAATAAGAAATAGAATGGCCTCAGGAGGAGGTGTTAGACCCGTATTACTCATATTTTCCGTCAACTTCTGTCAAGTGCAGCTCAGGGCATGAGGCAGATCGCACCTTCCCCAACGCCGTGACCAGGTGATTTCTCGATATACTCCATTTACCTCCATCCCTGGAAGATTTCGTATTATCCTGTCACAGAGCTGTCACTCTTATCAAATATTACACATTTCTTCAGTTGAATATTCTTTCCAGGACGATTGTTATCTGGCTATCCCATTCACCCCATGATAGTACATAACATTATCAGGCGTAGGTAATCCTCTGTCAACTTTTGAGATCCCCAATTCCGCTAACCAAAATTGATACCAAGACCTCTATTCTCCACATCCAAGACCTTCGGACGCTTCAACCTTCACTTGAAGAGCTTGTTTCAACATTCAACTGGCTGGGAAGCAGGTTCGCCAAATCAAAATGGTGCTATCACAAAGGGATGCGTCGGTTCAGGGGCCCTGGTCGACCAAAGATGTATTATCTTCCCCCTCTGGGCTTGGGATACCATTCTGACCACCATCGATAGATAATCTACCTCTCAATCGTTGGCCCCTTGATGCTTGCAGCCCTGTTCGAATGGGTTCTCTGGCTTAGTGCCTTCATCTACTGTCTGGTCAAAGTGTGGATGAAAGCAGACCATTGGAGTATAAGAGTTCTTGCCGTGATGATGATGCTCTTGTTCACAGTGATACGGTAGGATTCTTGGACATCGGGAGCTCATTACTCAACAGCTTTTCAGAGACATTGACTGACGAATACAAATAATAGGCTGGCATTCCTTCCAGTCATGCTCGTGACACTCCCATTGCCGCCACAGATCACGGTTGACTTACCCCACGAAATGGTGCATGGATTTCAAGTGTTCGCATTCTGGGCCTTTTCTGTTCTTCTGATCGGTCCATGGCTATTTTGTGTTTACGGACTCACCACGAATTCGCTGGGAAGAAAAAAGAGGATCAAACGAGTGCTCGATGATCGGACGGCCCCGAAGACTGTGGTTGTGATGCCAGTATACAAGGAGGAACCAAGCATCTTGATTAAAGCCATCAACTCCGTAGTTGACTGCGACTACCCTGCAAATTGCATCCATGTCTTTCTTTCATATGATGGTGGCAAGGTGGACGAGCCGTATCTCCGTGTCCTCGACCATCTCGGTATTCCTATCTCACTGGAGAGTTATCCTCAGAGAATTGACTGCATTTACAAAGGTGCACGGATCACGGTGTCTCGCTTCAAACATGGCGGTAAAAGACACTGCCAAAAACATACTTTCAAGCTCATCGACAAGGTTTATGCTGAGTACCTGAAGAGACATGACAACCTGTTCGTTCTCTTCATCGATTCCGACTGCATACTTGATCGAGTCTGTCTGCAGAACTTCATGTATGACATGGAACTTAAGCCAGGGAGCAAGCACAATATGCTTGCAATGACGGGTATCATTACCTCGACAACGGAGAAAAACAGCCTGCTGACCATTCTTCAAGACATGGAATACGTCCATGGGCAGCTTTTTGAACGATCCGTTGAGTCTGGCTGTGGTGCGGTGACTTGCCTCCCTGGAGCTCTGACTATTTTACGGTTCTCAGCTTTCCGCAAGATGGCCAAGTATTACTTCTCGGACAAGGCTGAGCAATGCGACGATCTCTTCGACTATGGAAAATGTCATCTCGGGGAAGACCGATGGCTCACTCACCTGTTCATGATTGGCGCCACGGAGCGGTATCAGATCCAGCTATGTATGAGCGCCTTCTGCAAGACCGAAGCCGTCCAGACCTTCAGTACTCTCTTGAAGCAACGCCGACGATGGTTTTTAGGTTTTATTACCAACGAGGTTTGCATGATCACTGATGCCCGGCTCTGGAAGCGCTACCCCCTTCTGTGTCTAGTTCGATTCATGCAGAACACGATCCGAACGACCGCACTGCTCTTTTTCATCATGATCATCGCACTGCTTACAACCTCAAAGAAGGTCGATGATCTCCCCGTGGGATTCATGGGGGTCTCCTTGGGGCTGAATTATTTGCTCATGCTTTACTTTGGCCTCCGTCTCGGACGCTATAAAGCCTGGCTTTACCCGATGATGTTCGTTGTGAACCCGTTCTTCAACTGGATTTACATGGTCTATGGTATTTTCACAGCTGGTCAGCGAACTTGGGGTGGACCACGAGCCGATGCTGCCACTGCTGATGACCATACCACGCCGGGGGAAGCAGTTGAACGGGCAAAAGAGCAGGGTGATGAGTTCAATGTGAACGTGAATACATTCCGCACCAGCCTTGTGCGTCGGGGATCCGTCCCCATCCGCCCATCGGAGAGGGTGGAAGGCCGATTTGCACCTGCCAAGCAGCTACTTGATGGATTTTATGTCAACACAACCAGCCATGGGCCTGCACTCGCACGAATGGTCAACGCGATGGAAAATCCAGGCAATCTCCAGTACCAATTACCTCCTCTATTTTCCCATTCAACTGATTCTATCAGTGCATCATCGGACTGCGGCTCTAGCTCGATTGCCACTCCACAAAACGTGGAAAACCTCCTGATGAGTGAAGAAGACCAAAAGAAACTTTATTATGCCCGCCAAGGTCGGGCATCGGGCTCGGTGAACCTCGATGGCCACTATTTGGAGAACCACTTTAATGGAGTTGCCCAGCCTATTTCCGAGCGTGACCTGGGGCTCACCCACCCACCAGGATCATACCAGAGTCGCTTTGGTCCAGTCCCAGAGCCGTAAGGCATGGCGCCGAGATACTTTCAGACCCCGTGAAAACCCCGTGACCCCACCTTATGATATTATTGTCTAAGAAGAACATATGTACCATGCGCATGACGTCACTTTTTCTCTTTTTTTCTCTTTTTTTTTCCTTTTTTTTTTTTTTTTTTTGTCTGGCCGATTCACCTTGGCATAGCTTTTTTTAACCATTCTATTCTTACGTTTTTCTTGATGGCGATAACTGCTCGCTTCTATAGGGTATTGAATTCAATATACCTTCCAAAGTATATGATGTAGCCAATGATCCACCATAGATTCCTCATAGGGCGGTGATCAACTTTTTATTCTGCCCGGCAGGAAATGGGGCGGTGAAGGTGGGCAATCCAGTAGCCGCCAGAAGGTTCGATGAGGTACCATAGCCCAGATGGTAAGAAAAACCTATATAGACCAGTCGGAAAGCAGGAAATGAAAGAAAGAAAGCACACTTTGACACATTTTACGTTATCAATTTATACCCCAAATTCGAAATTCCTTAGTTCGGCGCCTAAAGATCAGCCAGACCGCTTGACACTTGGTCATCGCCCCTCCAATAATAGTGGAGTGGCGTGCAAATTCTCCCCTCCGACTTCTCTCACTTTTCTTCCTTTGAACTTTCCATCTCTCTCTACCTCCCTACCTCCCCCATACCCCCCTACTTTCTTCCATAATGAGTGTCGTCGGCATTGATTTGGGTGCGCAAAGCACCAAGATTGGTGTTGCCCGCAACAAGGGCATTGATATTGTACGTGTCACCCCACGGTCTGATGCGGACTTTACGGTCTTCTATCGGGTTGAATCATGACCTCACAAACTCGAGCAATTGCGCTAACAGTTTTTTTTTGTTGACATTGTAGATTGCCAATGAGGTTTCCAACCGTCAGACCCCGTACGTTCTTAATCCTCGCCGTCCAGATAACAGAATACTGATTTAAATTATTCTAGCTCCGTCGTTGGATTCACAGCTCGCAGCCGTAACCTCGGTGAGGCCGCCAAGGGTGCGGAGATCTCTAACCTGAAGAACACCGTCAGCTCCCTCAAGCGCCTGATCGGCCGTTCTTTCAACGACCCCGATGTCGCCATCGAGCAGGAATACAACACATGCACCCTGGTCGACGTCGATGGACAGGCCGGTGTCGAGGTCAACTACCTCGGCAAGAAGGAGAAGTTCACAGCCACTCAGTTGGTCGCTTCTTACCTTTCCAAGATCAAGGACATCACCGCCAAGGAATTGCGCGCTCCCGTCTCCGATGTTACCGTCAGTGTCCCCGCTTGGTTCACTGATGTGCAGCGCCGTGCTATGCTTGACGCTGGTGACATTGCCGGTCTCAACATCCTCCGTCTCATCAACGACACCACTGCCACCGCTCTCGGCTACGGTATCACCAAACTGGATCTCCCCGGCCCCGAGGAGAAGCCCCGCCGTGTGATGTTCGTCGATATCGGTTACTCCGACTACACTGCCTCCATTGTTGAGTTCCGCAAGGGTGAGCTCAACGTTAAGGCTACCGCCTACGATCGTCACTTCGGTGGCCGTAACTTCGACAAGGCTCTGACCGAGCACCTTGCCGTCGAGTTCAAGGAGAAGTTCAAGGTCGACATCCACACTAACGGCAAGGCCTGGACCCGTACCTTGGTTGCCGCCGAGAAGCTCAAGAAGGTCCTGTCCGCTAACGCCGCTGCTCCTCTGAGCGTCGAGTCCCTTATGGATGACACTGACGTCCGCGCTATGATGAAGCGTGAGGAGCTCGAGCTCATGGTCAAGCCTCTCCTTGACCGCCTGACCGTTCCTCTGGAGCAGGCACTCGCTGAGGCCAAGCTTCAGGTCGAGGACATTGACCACATCGAGATGGTCGGTGGCTGCACCCGTGTCCCCTCTATCAAGGATACCATCAGCAAGTTCTTCGGCAAGGGTCTGTCCTTCACCCTGAACCAGGATGAGGCCATTGCCCGCGGTTGTGCTTTCAGCTGTGCTACCCTCTCCCCCGTTTTCCGTGTCCGTGACTTCGCCGTTCACGACATTGTCAACTACCCCATCGACTTCACCTGGGAGCAGTCCCCCGAGATCCCTGATGAGGATACCAGCCTCACTGTCTTCAGCCGTGGCAACGTCATGCCTTCCACCAAGATCCTCACTTTCTACCGCAAGCAGCCCTTCGATCTCGAGGCCCGCTACTCCAATGTTGACGCTATGCCCGGCAAGGTCAACCCCTGGATTGGCCGCTTCTCCGTCAAGGGTGTCCAGGCTGATGCCAACAACGACTTCATGATCTGCAAGCTCAAGGCCCGTCTCAACCTTCACGGAATTCTCAACGTCGAGTCTGGATACTACGTCGAGGATATGGAGGTCGAGGAGCCCGTCGAGGAGGAGAAGAAGGAGGGTGACATGGACACTGACTCCAAGGAGGAGCAGCCCAAGAAGACCCGCAAGGTTAAGAAGCAGGTCCGCAAGGGTGATCTCCCCATTGTCTCCGTCACCGGCGGCTTCGCCCAGGACCTCAAGGAGGCCTGGACCGAGCGCGAGAACGCTATGTACATGGAGGATAAGCTTGTCGCCGAGACCGATGAGAAGAAGAACGAGCTCGAGGCCTCTATCTACGAGCTCCGTGACAAGATCGACGGCGTGTACTCCGAGTTCGCCAGCGAGGAGGAGAAGGAGAAGCTGAAGGCCAAGCTCATGGATACTGAGGTGAGTCTCAAACTAGCATTTTTCAATAACTATTTTCATGATCAACCATACTAACGCATCATTTCAGGACTGGCTCTACGAGGACGGTGAGGACGCCACCAAGTCCATCTACGTCGCCAAGATGGACGACATCCGCTTCATCTCCGGCCCCATCATCCAGCGCTACAAGGAGAAGGTCGAGGCTGAGCGTGACGCCGTCCGCAAGGCCGACGAGGAGGCTGCCGCTAAGCGTCGCGCCGAGCTCGAGGCCAAGAAGGCCGAGGAGAACGCCAAGAAGACCGAGGGTGATGCCGAGATGAAGGATGCCCCCCAAGAGGGCGAGACTGAGGAGAAGCAGTAAATGCATCCCTATGATATTGGAATGATTTACTGATGTTTTTTTTCTTTTTTTTGTTTTCTGATCGGGATTGGAAAAACCAATCCCAACTGCGTTTTACTCTGATCTAATATGATCCATTACTAACATTTGGATCGGGGTGAAGCGCCGCGTTATGACGAAAAGGACCTTTTTTTAAGAGATGTTTCATGGAGCTAGATATTTCGATCGGCTTTGATCGATGGCCAATTTTTTTTTGTTCTAATGGCAAACAGTTCTGATGTAGATTGTTCCTGTTCCCCTTGATTGTTTATGAATAGATGAAAATACACTCAATGCCTTTGTCTTCCATTCTCCAGATTACATAGAATAAGTATCTGGAAGTGCAGGTCTTGACATGGCAAGTATCAAACTCCCTCTCTAACCATAGATTGGACGCCCACATCAAGGCCATACTGGTGCTGGTATTTCATAAACAGCGATACCAAGATATGAAGCGAATGAACATGTTTAGCGGTAACCTAGTGTTAGTAAGGAGTGAGCCGGACAGTACAAGATGAGCAATCCCCATTCAAAGGCTCTAGGCATTTCTTCAAACCTTCCGAGTAGCCTGGAGGGTGAATCCTTTTGTTCCTTCTCCCGAACATTCAAGCCAGTCCTAGACAACCGATGTTCCGGCCACTCCTTAGAGAACCAGCCATTACGTTTCACTCTACTTAAACTCTGGAATCTGGCAAGCACTCGCACACATTCAACATCCACAGCTGCACCCCACCGGTACTCAGTGGAAATGGACACGTCAAGTCCTTGGAGACCGATGGAAAGTTCATAATAGTGCAAGCCCTTAGCAAGTCGAGCTTCGAGAATAATGAGACTTTCCGGGGTCTCAGGGCATTCCGTCAGGGTCCTGAGCCGCAGTACAAGGTTTGGCCCCCAACAATAGGGCTCATCTTATCCTAATCCCGCGATCTGCATTCTACGGGGAATATACTCAGCCCCCTGTCGATTTTGACATGTGACTAATCTTTGGCTCTTTATTTTTATAAAGCAGATCCTATGCTCTCCAGGGCTCTCAACCCCGACTTCTTAGCCAATATGCGGTTTAACTACACCATACTCGCTTTCTTTGGCACAGCCATTTCACTTGACGTGACATTTTCTCCACTCAATCGGCCTGCCAGCGGTGAAACCATCCGAGCTGGTAGTGTCTTTATGATTGAATGGAGTAAAATCAAAGATGTTTCCGGACGGATCGATATCTCGCTACATAACGGTGAGCTAGCGGACGGCGCAAGTTACGATGGACGTGTGGAAGACATCAGCAGTAAGAGTTTTCCCTTCCTGATTTGTCTCCAGGACTGATCCATGCCAATAGCCGAAAGAGAGAGCACCGGCAAATTCGAGTGGCACGTCAACAGCACTCTTCCAGCCGGCGATCAATATTACATTCAGATTGACTATCTTGATGAGATTAAGTACGCAATCTTAAGCAAGTCCTCGGATTTCAAGATCCAGGCTTCTAATGGGTCAACACACACGACAAGCTCTTCCACAACCCAGATGCCTACAGGGTCGTCCACCATATCTAGTTCAGGTACAGCTACCTCGACATCGAATTCTGGTGTAACAACTCATATCTCTCCTCCGTTTGTATTTGTGGGTGCTGCGTTTGTTGGAATGTTGGCTTTCTAGGTGGAAGGTGAAAGCAGCAGTTTCTGAGTCATTTACTTCGTCAGAGTCCTTTTCCTTTCATAATTGAGAAGGTTGATGGGCGTGGTTTTCGCCATGTTTCCATCCACTATTCCGCTGTTCTAAGAATATTCGTTATTGTAGTAATTTGTCGGGATCGTACTATTCATCTCTACTAGTTGAATGAAGCAAAACGGCATTTTGTTGAGTTTCGAGAACAATTGCGCCCAAAATCTCGAGCAGAATACTCAAAACTGGATTGGCTAAACGACAAGTCGTAAAGACACAGTCGAAAAGACGCATTTCTTTCTACTGTTAATACACGGGCTGCGTATGAATTATTCCGCAAGTCTGTCACCAGAAATACATCAAAACCATGTATTTTAGTTCTTCAGTTGTCTCAACCCGTCCTGCAAGACAAGAGCCATGAAAAAGGAAACAGCAGCAGCAGCAGCAGCAGAGAGCTACCGCAATCTGTGTCGTCGACAACGGTTGCAGGCTCGGATCCGGCAATTTCTGCACATGAAAATGTACTCAGGCAGATAATGGTTGCCGACCTCACATTTCAAACTCCCGGTGTCACGCCAAGCCCATTGCCTGTTCATGTGATGCTGGCACCCATTGTCCTCGTGTTGCCGTAGGTTCTCGACTATCCGGTCAAACGCGTCCTGGCGGGCTTCGATATCTGCATCAGCCGGGACTTCCTCATCTACCGCTTGAATTGCCATTTCCTCAAGCCTATCCTCGTACCAAAGTGGACAGTCGCATGATTTCCAAGCTAAACCACACACATAGCAAAATTCGCGGCCGCAACTACTAATCATTAGCTTTTTTCCATGTACTATATCACTCTGTTGTAAAAAGCATCGCCTGCTTACCGACATGTCATATGGTTGCAGCCAAGGTGAAGCTCTACCATAGTTCGACAGTTGAAACATCGTTTCCATTTTTCGGCATCCGCAATTTCCAGCACAGTACGAAGAGGATCGTCCATTGGGCAATCGACGCGAGGGTGGGCAAGGGAGCGGCATGGTACGTGGGTTTGCCGGTGACACTCGGGGCAAGTGCCGTGCTCATGTTGGATAGCAAATGGAGGAATGAATTTCGAACATGTTGGCTCGGCACAGTAGAGGCGGTCCTTTGCGGTCCATTCAAGGGCTCTTTCACCGAAATTTCGAAGCTCCTCGTAGTCGAGAACCCTCAATGCAACGCCAGGTGGCACAACATTGCCGCAACAACGAGGCGGATAAAGCTCCTCATCTTTGATAGCACCGAGGAACATCTGTTTTGTGCAGTCACGGCAAAACTCGTGGCCACATGGACCCTTGAATATGATGGTCTCGACGTTTGTGTAACAGGAAGCACACTCTTTCATGATGCTGGTTGTTCGAGATGGATGTATGCGCGAGGAGCCTTCCCCGTTATTAGATGCGCTATCACTCATAGTCATCCGGCCCATGAGATCCCCCATAACAATAGAAACGGCGTCGTCATCGTCGTCTAGCGATGTACTCTCGTGTACTGTCGAAGAATTTGAAATGTCGTTAGAGGTCGAGGTTCCATTGCTCAGATCGAGAGCGAACTGACGGTCCTGGTTGGCAATTCTTTCCTCGTGTTGAAGAGATGCTAATATCTTTTGGTCAGTGGCAATTGCAGTACTCGTGCTAAGTGCCAATATCTCATCGTTGATAGAGATCTGTGTGGTCCGGATATTCTCCCTCAAGCATGCGATGGCAAGTTCGAGATCTGTTTCTTTTCCTGCGGTCTGTTTTCCTTTCTGTCTGCTTTCGAGGTCATCCAGATCCTCAAGAAGAAGTTGGAGGATCATTCTCTTGTTTTGATCTTGCTCCATCTTGAGAAGTAGGATGCCAAGAAGAAATGGTTAAAAGGAAGGGGGTGGGGAAAGAAAGCGAAGGATGAAATAGGAGAAGAGTTGACCAAAGAGGAGGGAAAAGGAAGATTGATTATCTGAAAGACTGGTGAGACATAGTCAAGCGAGGCATCCATTGGCTAATACATAACAATCAAACGACGAGGTGTTAACTCCACCGATTCTGGTCTTTCATGCAGACTATCATAGGCCTTATTTCTTAACTGTAAAATATGGTGAGTAACCCCGTGGTATCTGGGGTGAGCTTCCAGTTAGGGACATAAAGCCGTGATAGGGCAGTTTCTACGAAATTTGCAGTTTTTGCCTCATCTCCTCCCATATGACGATTGCTATGTTTGCTATGATAGCTGGCCATCCTAACTTTGTCAGCGGAAGTGCCGTGGCAAAATATCCTCGGACAGGGACCCAGAGCTTGATAAGCGATATATTTGAGCTAGTTTGCACGGAAAATTATCTGATCTTATACATTTTTTCAAAATTCCAGCCCCTTTTCTCCATCTTCCGTCTGGAGGGAACTTCATTATACTAATCATAGCCATTGATATGTTGTACGCCTCGCTGATTCCCAAGAGTGAGTGTCTCATTATCCTCTTCAGTATAATTGTGACCGTCCTTAGTCCCTGACGCAAAGTTTAGTCGTCGATTGTAAGTAGTGTGGAGTGGAAGATTGTCGTCTTCCTCGTAGGATTGCCAAACTGACGCTAAAAACAACATCTTGGCAACCACAAGAAGATGATGACAATCCAATACTTAGCGCAGCTTAGCAGCGTACGACGGACGATGGACTTTTGCCTCAATGGCTGAGAGCAGTCGCAATTATCTAGACTGGGTAATGGGACATACTATGTAACATCAGATACGCCGCTTGACTCACTCGCCTTGTCAGACGGAGTCTTCATACCCGCTGTTGGGTCTAGCCATAGACCTCTCTTTAAACTTTTTTCAATACATGGTAGGTTGATAGGCTGTGAGCAATGGGTGCAGCGATAGAAAGATCACTGTATGCAGTTCCTCGATCTCTTCTTTGTGGAAGTACTAGGCATTCTCATTTTTCGGTTCTCGGGCTCTCTCTGATACCTTAAGAAGCAAATGCGTGAAATTGTGCATAAATGTCGAAGATTAGACAGGGACCATTGTGTGAAAGCCAGAAAGGATAAAGCGGTAGTTCTCTGGTTCTAGCTATGGAAAGACTAGATATCATATAGGCTATGGGAGCTGTGCACAGCTAAATGAAAGGGATTCTGGATATGGCGGTCAACAGAGATTATCAATGCTATTTTATGGCTGTCTGCATGGACCAGTTGTGGATTTGATCTGTTTGTATGTCGCTTGTAGTTTCAGCTGAAACCCGTCGGCATATTGCAGACTCGGTGCAGTACTCGGCTCTATGCTTATCAATAAGGAAAAAAAAGTGTGCCCATGCGGAGTACTCGGAAGCTCCGAGGGATATATCTGCAAGCTATATGGTGAACCTATTAACTAGAAGGCTTTGAAATAAAAGACTATTTCCACTTTAGCAACAAAAGTAGAGCTCCTCGCCCCTATAGAAGCCGGTAAGACTATCTAATAGTAGCGTCGAGTACTCTATACACCAGGCGTTTATAGAATAGAACTAACAGAAATTCCGATAGACTAAAAGATATTAGTTGGTTAAACTAGGAAAAAACTGATTTGGATGCTATAAGGAATTGGTTGAAAGCTGGGCCGAAAGGAGTTGTTAGGGTTGAGGTGTCGAAAGTTAAAATTGAATACAGACATATTACTGGGTAATTTACCTGGACGATCACATGACTGACCAATCACCACACAAAAGTGCACATATTTAAATTGTTAGTTTTGTCATTTTAGTCAGAGAGTTACATACTGAATCTGTACCATATATTGTCCCATATAAATCTACTGCAAGATGCCGTCCACATTGAACATTGCCCAATTGAATGACAACCCTTCCTCTCGGATCATTATCGTTGGAGGAGGCATCGTCGGCGCAGCCCTTGCATTCCATCTTTCCAAGGCCGAAAGTGAAAAGCATATTGTACTTATCGACAAAAGCCTAGAAACACTGGTGGGCTCCACCGGCCACGCTCCAGGATTTGTTGGCCAACTCAATGAGTCGGCTGTCTTGACTCAGTTGGCTAAAGACACCGTCCAGGACTACCTCACGATTCCAGGTGGCTTCGAAACAGTCGGCGGCCTGGAACTTTCCTCTGCGACTTCTGGGTTGGAGCTCTTAGAGCGCCGGCAGGAAACAGCACAGGGAGCTGGTCTACCTGCGGAGCTTCTCACTCCGGAGGCAGCCGCTGCTCTTGCCCCGGACTTTATCGATCCCAACTCGATCAAGCACTGTCTGCTTTTCCCGTCAGATGGAACCGCCAATGCAGGCGTCATTACTTCCTACTATGTAGACCAAGCTCGCGCTAAAGGAGTCGATTTCTTGGAAGCCGCCGTAACAGGCTTTGTGACCAAGAAGGACAACGAAACGTCGAAGATTGCGACTATTAAGACTGCTGGTGGAGATATCAACTCGGAAGGCAGTATTGTTATTCTCGCCACTGGAATTTGGACATCTTCCTTGATTTCCGGTGATAAGACCCCTGTTACGCAACTTCCGATTCCCATTGTCCCTGTTGCACACCCTTACACCTTTACTCCGACTCGGGCTAGACGTGTCGGTACCCCGTATCCATTCGTTCGCTGGCTGGACCACCACGCCTATGCAAGAGATCACGGAGATCGAGATGGTCTAGGCAGTTATGATCATCCCCCGATGCAACTTGATCCCATTGAAAGCGCGATTGGAGCTTGGCCAGCAAGCTTCGATCAAGTGCTGTCGGATGCTGCTTCGCACTTGAAGAACAAGGCTGAGTTCCAGGTCCAGGGACAGAATGCAAATCCAGAAGAGACTTGGGTGGCGGACAAGCCATTCAATGGTATCTTTTCTGTCACGCCTGACAACTTGCCCTTCGCTGGTCGGGTTCCTGATGTTGCAAATCTATGGCTTGCTGCCGCCATTTGGGTTACCACTGCTGCTGGTACTGCTAAGCTATTGGCGAGAGAGATTCTTGGCAATAAGCATTCGACAACTTCAGAAGACAAGGCTCTCCTGGACGCCCTGAATCCTGCACGCTTCCAAGGCGTTGAAGCGGATCTGCTTCTGCGAAAATCATTGTCGAAATATAACGATATCTATAACCGTGAGGCCTAGGCTCACTTGAACCACTCAAATCTTCTTGGAGGTTGAGCTATCATCTACAAGCTTTATGTTTTTCTGAGATGAAAGACAGGGCGTCCAAGATGAGGTCAACCTAAGAAGTGATCATGCAGCAGTTGATAGCCACTCTGATGATCCATTGTATATTCTGTTCAGTATCAGCGACGAGGACGAATGATCAATCTTTACTCAGTTGTACATAGCTATTTCAGCCTGAGGCATACAATCACATGAATCTTATATCACGTGATGAGTGCTTATCTCCGTGCTGACAAACCTATCCCCGTGGAACCAGGTCGAATTCGCCAGCGCCTTGCCTATTTGGGCCATATAAGCGGATTCTTCTTGTCGCGAGTCCCTCTCTCACTAGCTCTTCCTCTACAATCACCTATCTAACCGTACGCTATAATGGACTCCCCTAAGGAGCTGACCGTCCACCATCATGGGACCGCCCATATCATCCAAGTCTCCGCCTCGGCAACATTACAAGACCTCTCCTCCGAGATAGAGCGCGTCCTAAACATCCCCGTCGACAACCAAAAGCTCCTCATAGCCCCAAAGCCAGGAATGCAGAAAGCACCATTCCCACCAACACTGCTCGACACAATTCTCCAAACCTCCTCCCCAAAGTTCAAGATCACCCTCCTCGGCACCCCCGCCAAAGCAATCGCCGATCTGCACGAACAATCCGCCAGCGAACAGCGACGACAAGAATCGCGAGCTGCCGCCCTAAGCGCCGCAAGACGTAACAAACAAACACCATCCTCCAGCCGTAGCGGCGGCGTCCACACGATCTCATCTTCAAACAACAACTACACCTTCCACCGTCTCCTCCCACTATCCTACCTCCCCAACCCAGACCGCTCCCTTGACTTCCTCAAACGCCTCCGCGACGACCCAGGTATCCGCGCTGCAATGACAAAACACAAGTTCTCCGTCCCGCTTTTGACGGAAATGAACCCGGCAGAACACACGACGAGCGAGTCGCGCACGCTAGGTTTGAACCGGAATAAAGGCGAGGTGATTGAGTTGCGTTTGCGAACGGATGCTTATGACGGTTACCGTGATTACCGTACTATTCGGAAGACGTTGTGTCACGAGCTTGCGCATTGCGTGTTCGGGCCTCATGACCGTGACTTCTGGGATTTGACGTCGCAGATTGAGAAGGAGGTTGATCGTGCTGATTGGAAGTCTGGTGGAAATCAGTTGTCTAGTCAGGAGTTTTATAATCCTGGTGACTGGGATAGTGTGCAGGATGGTGAGGAGTTTGTTGATGAGTGTGGGTGGACTGGCGGGGAGTTTGTCCTTGGTGGATTGCAGGGCGACTCGACTGGAGGCCAGGGTGCTTCTGGCGGGACACTGTCTCGTAGGGAAATCATGGCTCGGGCTGCGGAGGAGAGGATGAAGAGGGAGAGTCAGGCCGGGAAGCAAGATGATGCTAAGTGATATCATGGCTACTGATTTCGCGCCCTTTCTTTTTCATGATTTATGAGTTCTTGCTTCTAAACTACATATGTACATAGCCTTTGATACCATACTCTCAAGTTTGTAATTAACCCATTTCTGTACATTGGAGATCATAAATTTTGTTGCGTAATTAACCTAATCTCTAGACATTTACAACTGCTCATTGACAAAGAGACCAGCCATACCCTGTCCAGTTCCGATACACATGGAAGTGACCAAAATCTTACTCTTTGTCCGGCGAGCCTCGCTCAGAACGGTCGCGATCTGGCGCGCACCTGTTGCGCCGAGCGGGTGACCAATGGCGATAGCACCACCACGAGGGTTGACCTTGGCGTGGTCAAGGCCGAGGTTCTTAATACAGTAGACGGCCATAGAGGCGAAAGCCTCGTTAATCTCGTAGATATCGATATCATTCTTGTCAAGCTGGAACTTGCTCAGCAGCTTGGGGATAGCGGCAGTTGGGCCGATACCCATCACGCGAGGGGGCACACCGGCAACGGTGGCACCACAGAACTTGGCGAGGATAGGCTGGTTCAGCTCAATAGCCTTGGAGCGGCGCATGAGAAGAACAGATGCGGCACCGTCGGTGACCTGGCTGGAGTTTCCACCAGTGGACTTGTCACCGAACTCTGGGAATGCAGGGCGAATCTTGGAAAGCGACTCGAAAGTCGTACCGGGACGAATACCATCATCACGGGACAGAGTCACCTGCTTAACCTCGCCAGTCTTGGGGTCCTTGACCTTGACAGTAATGGGAGCAATCTCATCAGCGAACCAGCCATTGTTCTGAGCAGCCTCAGCACGACGGAAGGACTCGGCGGCATATCGATCCTGCTGTTCGCGGGGGATATCGAAGTCCTTGCCAATGTTCTCGGATGTCTGGCCCATAGGCTGCATGCAGTCTGCGGCCTCCTGGTTGCGCAGGACTTCCTCGTTGAAGGGCTTCTCCAGACGGTCACCAGCGGCGGACATCAGCTCGGCACCTACAGCGACACCGATGTCGATGGCGCCCAGTTGGATCTGGGCCGCGATATCCTGAACAGCCTTCAGTCCAGACGAGCAGAAGCGGTTGACTGATGAGGCGCCGGCGGTGTGGGGGATACCGGCAGCAAGGGCAGCGGCGCGGACCATGTAGGCGGCTTTGCCTTCGCCGACCTGTCTTGGGGTTAGAATATGCCAATATAGATTTGTGGAGCGGAGAAAAGAGGTTAAACATACGTTGCCGAGGCAGACATCCTCGATCAGAGCAGGGTCAATCTGTGACTTGGCCAGAGTCTCCTTCAACAAGGCGTAGATCATGTAGTCCAATTCTGTGTCCTTAAACCCGCCCTTACGCGCCTTGGTCAGCGGTGTGCGGATTGCTAGGGTAATGACCACATCGTCGGGGTTCTTCTGTGTACTGTGTTTGTTTGTTAGACTCATAAAACACAACAGAGTTCATCTGAGGACTTACATAGCAGCGAGGCCGTTGGCGGCGCCGGGCTTGAGGTGGCTCAAGAGCGAGCTTAAACGATCTGCGGCCATGATGTATGAATGTGGAGAGACTAGTCAAGTTATATAGTCAGTTTTCCACTCTTCTTTTCTTACGCTTGTCTTTGTTCAAGTTGCCAGTAATGACATGGGAGTTTTCGGTGTTAATGCGGGGGAAGCTTCAATGTGCGGAGATTTGGCCGATGGGAGTAAAAACAAAAGGCTCGAGGTCTAGGGAGAAGATAACTTACAGATTGTATAGGGGTAGTTGGAGAGAAAGGAATAAAATCAACAAAAGAAGGTAAAGGAGTTAAAAGAAGTATGAAGAGAAAGAGGTCTCCGCTTCGGACTGGCCGAGAATGCCGAGGCACATTTCGCTTATCAGGTTATCCAGCCACGAAGTACCAGGTACTTCTTACATCACCCATTAGTCCGCCTATAGGAAGTACCTGGTACTTCAGTCAGTTCTATTGCCAGTCATGAGGACTTGGCCTCGAAATGCCTAGGTAACTGTCGGCTTTATTAAGTGTCAACATTAAACCTTGCAATAATGGCTAGACTAAGCTCAAAATGATAAATTCACGCGCTGTTATATAGAAGAATAAGAAATAGCTTCTCAAAGTCTCAATATGAGTCCACCGTCATCTCCTTGTGCAGCCAATTCTCAAAATTGCCCCCGTGGGCTTTGGGGTTATTGTCTACCCAGTTGCAAGAACCATGGTGATAATTCAAGATCTCGGAATACCTTCAAATTGTAAGCAATCAATTCGCCACAGATTGGGAAAATACATACATTTTACACTTCCATTCATCTACAGTCATTTCTGAATCCAACAGAGACCAATCAATTTGTTTGTCACACTCAGGTTCGTCGTTAGAGTCGTGATAGGTCGAAACGTATGGATGGGTTAGGGCATCCACCGCTGTGATTCTCTTTTGCGGGTCTATATCCAGCATTTTCTCCAAGAGATGAATGGCTAGCAAAGTCAGTATCATCAGATGTAGATAGATCAAGGGGAACTTGATATTAATCAAGATTTGTGCATACCTTCGGGGTCAACATCTCCCAGGGTAGCTGCAAGTGACCGGGGTTTCGTTTGAGGTAAAGAGTTGACAAACTTCATCGTCTATAACTTGTAGTCAGCATCTTCTCCATATCTAAAACCATCGTTTAGAATCTGGTCATACAATGTCACTGTAAACTGTCTCCATAACCTCTTTGGGTGGCTTCCCAAAGTTCTCAGTGATCAGTCTAAACTGATGCACATTGTCTTTGCCCGGTAAGAGGGGTTTCCCCAGGAGCATCTCTGCTACGATGCAAGCAGTGCTCCAAATATCTACCGCGTAGCCATATCTCTGCCATGTCAGCATGATCTCTGGAGCTCGGTAGTACCGTGTGGCGATATAGCCAGTCATTTTGTGGTCTTGTTCTCGGGCTAGACCAAAGTCGCAAATCTTCAAGTCGCAGTTCTCGTTGACTAATACGTTGCTAGGTTTGAGATCACGATGGATCACGTTGGCGGAGTGGATGTATTTCAACCCTCGCTGAAATAGTCAGCTCCGCTGTCATATTTAAGGTAATATGGGCAGACATACCAGCAGTTGGTAGGTGAAGAACTGGACAAACTTGCCCTCTAATGGTTCTGATGCTGATTGGATCAAATGATGAAGGTCTGTCATACAACAGTCCATCACAACATAACTGTGTTTCAACTGGGTTAGTATATAGTTGAATTTGAGAAATCGAGTAATTCACATACAGATCTTCCGCTGGTGAGATAAAAATATCCGTCATGTTGATCAACTATTGGTAGTTAGTGTTCACATTCAGACTGAGACTCTTCTTCCACACATGCATTATCATGTTTTAGATTGGTCATCAAATGAATCTCGCGATACGTGCGCTTGACCAAGGCAGAGCTATCAAAAGGATTCTTTATCTTTTTTATAGCAACCGTTTGGTTGGCCATTGAATCACGGGCCGAGCTAACACTGGGTTAGTGAATTTATAATATAATAGACGAGGGGATATAGTATACCAGATTATCCCAGAGGCACCAAGACCTCGTGCCTGCAAGTCTGTATACCTATCGGTGGTATGGAGGGTAGTGCCCATAATTTGATGCGTGATGAATGCAGCCATTGTGAAGTTGTGAAGTTGTGAATGTGAAGATGGAATAGGAGAGGAAAATAGTTAATGTATACTATAATTAGGTGTCTTTGTACTTTCGGGTCGCGGGCCGTGTGGCGGCGACGTCATTGATAGGCGGTTGTTTCCCATATGGGTTGCCAATTGGCTGTTGACTGTTTTTTATATTTTGAATTTCCAGGTTAATTCCAAGGTTCTCCACGTAGATGTATGAACCACGCCGGATATCTCAGCCGACCAATCCCAATTAAGCCTCTACACGATAACCTAAGCTAGTTGATGTATATGTGGACCTCACTTGGTACGATCTTGTCCTACGAATGCACACTCTCTATCCTAATAGGCTCTTCGCGATTGCGTCAATCATGTTTCAGGGGAATTATTATACGATTGCCACGCTTAAATATTCAAGAAGCTTTTCTACCAAGTTGCCTGAACCGGTTTAGCCGGCCACACAAGGTTGATCTCATGCAAAGATCGACGTCTGCCTTTGAACTTCCTTTTTTGCGTAAATGATTATTGACAATGCCATATCGCATGTAAAACACCCGTTTTCGGAAGGTTATATTACAGTATTACTAGGAGTATTGCAAGTGATGGATCCCTTTTCAACTCAAACAGAGCAACCCCTGGTGCCTTGTATTGCAACGAAAATCGCAGCCAAGCTCAAACCTAAAGCCAAAAACACGGAACACCATGTCAGCAAAACCCCCGAGCGAGTAAAGCCCATCCACCCGTATCCTTGTCCATAAGTCCCACATCAGAGCAACCGATGTCCAGCATCCTCGTTGCTAATTACGCTACCCACATCAGACCATGGCGGAGTAGCCACACCACCAACAGATTGCCCACCTAGGTCACTAAGGCTACCATCTGATGTTTCATCCTCAAATTCTCCGACATGGCTGAAACTTCCGCTGGTAGAAGGGGCGGCTGAAATATCATTGTGAGACTGAACACTCTCGTGGCCGAAACCATCTAGCTCAGCAAGGTGATCGTGTTCATAGGTTATGTTGCTTGGCGTATCAGGGTGCGCGTAATATACCTGCTGGTGATCTTCTGTGTGGCTGGAGCCAGAGACAGACAAGGGAGAGTTGGGAGAATAGGGATCAAAGAGACTACCCCCCTCGGGTGCTTCAGACCTAGGGGTGAACTGAATAATAGATTCGGAAGGATGGTTCGAGGCAGGGGACGAGGGGATGTCGAGATGCAGCTGATTCCGACCCGGTGTAGTCGAAGACTCGGCCTCGGTTTGCTTGCCACCACGCCGGAGAGGCCCCGAAGTTCCCAGGTCAACTCCCGTTGAGTTAGCAATAAATTCTTCGTTGGACTGAACATCGTATTTATGATCTTTTTGTTTACGCAGATTGCCCTCGTTGTCCACGAGAGCATCAAAGCTACCATGAGACTGGCCTGCCTGGCTGGACTTCCGTCGTGATTCAAGGAGGGCTCCTCGTCGCATGATCTCCGCACGAGCAATCCGTCTGCGTTCTTCGGCAGTTTCACCAGTCTCCTCAGTCATAGAAATGTCTTCCCTCAGCGGTATGTTTTGAGGTTGGATCTCATCGCCGAGGTTGTGCAGAGCCAAGGCGATCTTGCGCCGCGACGTGGTCACCCATTGTTGAAACTGCGGTGACTCGTACACGGCAATGCCGGCTGCTACAAGCACGGAAACAGTAATGATGAGCCCTGTATGAGAGGTCAGCCTCATCCTATACAAAGTGGGGAACTGATAAGGCCGAGTACACCGCCCGGATGATCCGGGAAGAAGAGAAGTTCAGGGAAGTAGGGGGCCATACCTTTTGCAAGTGGTGCTGGCATAATGAACCCGAATATTGTACTTGGGTCTTTTCTTACAGATGTTTTTGGGACTCACTTCAGTCATCCATGGAGCGGGACAAGATGATTTGCTGATGCCTGTAACTTATCCTTACATTGTCACGTGAATCGCCACGCCCTTATCACCGGCCCTAAATACACACCGCTTTGGGTAAAGTTCCCCGCGCGTCTCAATGGACGTGATAGAAAGCTCCCATCTCTTGACTCGATTGTACAATTGAACCTGGGTGATACCATCATGTCTCGCCAACCTTCGCAGGCCCACCGGCCGTTGTCCCTCACCGAGGAGCTTGAGAAATTGGAGCAGTCCATCACCCTTACACTCCAAGGTAGGGCAAAAAAGTAAACAAAACAGTCCAGCAGACCGCTCATCGTCATATGTCCATACAGAGATCGACCACAATTTCAGTCAAGCTCATCGAATAGTCACCACGAGTATATTGCCTCTAGTAGAGCAATATACCGAGCATTCCCGAGATGTCTGGGAAGGTTCCAAGGTCAGTGCCAACATCATATACAGCTATAGACAGTTTTGTTGACTCTCTATAGTTTTGGAAACAATTCTTCGAAGCGAGCGCCAACGTATCTCTATCCGGCTATGAAGAAAGAAACACCGACGACGAAACGACGCAGGACCCCACAGCCACGGAGGAAGAGTTGTCTGCCGACATAACCCAAAGCACCAGCCTCGACGAGAGCATGTCCCACGATACGCCATCTTACCAGCGCCATGAAACGCCCCGCGGCGACCAGGCAGACGACCTTGATCTAACAGATCTCGCAATCTCCTCTCACAGCACTCCACGTGCTCCGGGCCACCACCACCAACAGGCCGACGACGACATGACAACCTCCTCGATGGAGTACTCGTCCTCTTACGAAAACCTAAGAAGACAAGTCAACGAATCCGAACCTCCATTCGACCTCCCAGACTCCTCGACCCTCCCATCCACTCCAGGCCGCCAGCTCTTCTTCCCCCGCGGCGTCTCCGCCACAACCCCGATGTCATCACCATTCCTCCCGCCCGCGTCGGAGTCACAGACTCAAGACCGTCGATACCAGAAGACCTCGGACCCAGTACTGCACCAAATGCTCGACAAAACATACCGGGTGCAAGCCACGCCGCTCGGAAAGGGATTCCGCAATGTGGGCGGCGGCACGAACACTCGATCCAAGTTCAATATCACCACCCCAAAGCTGGCAGAGACTACGTCCAAATATGCATATGACGACTCGCCGATTTCCAGCCCGGAGCCAGAGGCACCACAACTCCACTCGGAGATTTTCTCGTCGCCCATCAAAGGCATCGACACCCCGGGCACGAACCGCAAGCGACCGACTAGCAGCAATCGCATGCGCGGTATTCCCAAGCCTGGCATGAGTGTCTTGACACCTGCTAAGAAGTCTGCGGGCAAGTCGGCTATGTGGGATAGCGACGACGATTTTGATGACGATGATGAGGATCTTGGGCCTAGTCCTCCTAAGACAATGCAGTTCCACATTCCGCAGAGCCGGTTGATGAGGACGCCTGGTAAGATTTGTTCCTTTGGTTTTCGTTTTTCTTCTTTTTGAGACTACATCCACGCTAACTTCTTTCGCCTTTGTAGCAAGGGAGGCATCTAAACGCATCGTGACTGATTTACTAGCTACGGCTGGGGCTGGGGATATCACAGATGACTTTGGCGACGACCAAAGTCCAAGTGTGATCCGCCGCATGGAGCGCCTGGAAGATGAAACTTTCTAAGTCGGCGATCAAATAAATACGACTGACGATAGGTCTATTATCAAGGTTGACCTGGCTGGCATTTTCATGTCCATTACGTTCTACTACATTGCCCATATTCAAACATAGACCTCAAATACCCAACAATATGACGTCATCGATGAATGCCAAAGTTTCAGCATATTCATTTCCATTAAAGAGTAGAGAAAGAGAGATAGAGGGCACAGCCTATAATATTATCATACACGTGGACATAGTAGACAGATGTCACTTTTGGGTACTTCTAGAACCCTCGGGGCATGAACAAAAAGACAAACGCTTAGGAAAGGGTAGGATATGTACGGGCGATGAAGCCAAGCAAGCAATGCCACCGCACCCTCCAGTCTATCATTTTTATCCCAGAGATTTTGGGCTCTTCGGGTGCAGATAGAAAGGAAGTAGGCACTGATGCCTGCAATGGACCTTGATCAAAGGCGGTTGTGGGGGATGAGCAAGAAGGAAGAGAGTGATATCTAGGAGCTCTTCTTCTTGTTCTTGGACTCGGTGTCCTTCTTCTCTGTCTTAGAGTCCTTCTCCTCATCACTCTCCTCAGACTTCGACTCCTGCTTCTGGTGATGTTCATAGAGAGACTGGTGCTTGGAGCTCAAGCGCTCCTCCTCAGCAGCAACCATATCCTTCCAAAGATCACCCTCATTGGGCTGACCACCTTGGCGAACAGGCGCTTCCTCAACCTCCTCAACCTTAGCCTTAGCCGCATCCGCCTTCTTCTTCGAGTCCAGCAAGCCGCGACCACGACGCTGATCCGAGATCTCGAAAGCAGCCGAAGCACACAGAACACCGAGTGTCAGACCCTGTGCATAGACACGAGCCTGGACAAGCTTCTGCTGTCCGCTGAGGCCGGGGATGCGACTAACAAGCGCGAACGAGCCAACCATGGAGGCAACCCAGGTGGCGGTGATAATCTTGTATTTCTCACGACGGGCGAAGGCAGCAGCGCGATCGACGAAGCTCAGGCCGCGAATCTCCTCGGCGCGGAGACGCTCTTCGCGATTCTCGTACCATTGATAGGCGGCATTTTGCTCATTCTCGTACTCGCGCGAGGCGTGGTCGGCAGCGATAATACCCGTGAAGGTACCGGAGGAAGTCACCAGGAAGGCTTTCATGGGAATTGTTAGGTTGCGGATTGTGTGGTAGCGACGTGAGGCAAGTAGGACACCTGCGACGCCGCCGGCAAGACCGAGGAGGCCGCCGACTGTGCCACCTTTGACGACGGAGCTGGGGTTTTGTCAGTATGGGCTGATGGGGAATTGTAGTGTGTAGGGTCTTGCGTACCTATAGTGAGCGTCTTCTTGTTCTTTAGTGAGAATCTTCATTGTGGATGTATTTGAAGGAGAAAGAAGAGGGCGAAGTGTCCGATATAAAACCAAAAAAGCAAAAGCCGGATCGCATGACGTGTGGAATTGCGGGATCGCGGGATCTGCTCTTTTTCCGGTGATAGGCGGGCTTTACTCGGTCTTGCACGGAACTTACTTGCCGGACTTTTGGGGGGCAACTTTTCTTATACATCTCTGACATATTTGGAATTGAATGGAATTTTACTTTGATTGTTTTCAATATGAAATTTCATTCGTTGAAGATTCTGCTGCTTATTCCACTCGGAATGTGAAAGGTGACACACTCCCAAATCCCTATTCAATCCCCGATTGATCCCGAAACGCCCCAAACACCGCAAAATTATCTCACATAACGGAAGTGGCCGAAGCCATGGAAAAGAATTTACAGTCGAATCTAGCGACGAGATGCCTTGCGCGCCGCGGCCTGGCGGGCTTGCATCTTGCGGAAACGGTCCTCGCCGCTGGCACCCAAGGGGCGTGCAAACTGAGTCTCGCGCACAGCTGTTTGACGGGGAACAACAGTATAGCTGACGTTGGTACGGTCGACACGGGCACGGTTGAGAAGGCGAGGAGGGAGCATCTCGAGGGCGCGGGCTTCGGCTTGGATCTCCTCGGCGGTGGGAGGAGCGCGTCTGACAACTTTCCTGTAGGGGTGTTAGTGGGTGATAGGGAGGATGCGGAGCAGTGAACATACGTAGGATCGTAATCGGCCTCCTGGTAGACTCGCTTTGAATAATCATCGCTGCGCTGGAGAATTGGTCGTGTCCACTCCGCCAGCAATTTCTCTGCCATTTCCTTAATGCGACGCTCAGTGCGCTTGCTCTTGGTGTAGAAGACAACCACTTTTCCAATACCACTGGCAATCAAAGCATCCTTGTTGATAGGCAGCTTGGTAAGGGCGGTCAAGAGGTCGCGCTGGATGTTGTATGCGGGCATTGCGCCATCGTCCAGAGGCTCGAGGAAGAATCGAACGGCTTCCAATAAGTTGATCTCTGGGTCGACCAAGGCGCTGGTGTACTGGTTGCGATTGAGGAGCATAATGACTTCGGGGAGGAGCTTGAGCTTATGCATAGCTGGTTTTCCTTCTTGGCGATTGATCGCATCCATTTGAGCTGCGTGGGTCATGCGCTTGCGCATATCCTCAATTTCAGCATCTGCCATAGATTCCAAATCCTAATAGTACAGTCAGTAAACATGGGTGAGTAGGTGTTACCAGGCGCAACACATACAATGCCATCCTGCTTGCGGAAACGTCTCTTCGCTGGCTTCTTCATTGCCTCGTCCATAGCGCGGTCGAGGGCTCGGCGACGTCCTGGTGGTTGAAACCCAGTTAGTACAATCTGTGTGGGGCGGAAAACCAGTTGCCAGTAAAGAGCAGAACATACGGGTCTCCGGGTCAAGAGTCTCCTCATCTGTATCGGGCTTATCCTCGCGCTGCTTGCGTTCACGTCGGCGAGATGAACCTCCCTCATCGCCTCCTTCGTCAGCTCGACGGCTCTTCTTCTCGCGACGACCTTCCTTCCGGCGTGGACGACTCTCGCCATCCTCAGTGCGCTTGCGCTTGTGACGGCCAATGAGTTTCAAGTTATCTTCGTCGATAGCAAGTTGTGGGCGATCCTCGACGTCAACATTCTCTGGATCGAAGTTGTCGAATTGTGCCTCGTCAACCTCGGACAAAATAGACTCGTCGTCTGAAAGCTTGTCATCGTCAACTTCGTCGTCGTCGACTTCATCGTCGTTTCCACCACGTGGCTCATCGTCATCATTCTCCACGACTTCCTTGGCCTCAGCGGTAGGTCCAGTAGAGTTCTCGCGCTCGTTGTCGTCACCAGCAACCGGGGTTGCGACTTGGTCGTGGACTTCGGGTTCGGGCGAGGCGGCAGGCGAGGCAGCCTTGCGGTCCGGTGAAGCAGACATGGTGGTTCAGATGACGGTAATTGTAAAGGGATAGATTAAGAACAAAGATGCGAAGGTATAGAGATCGGTCAGGGGAAGTATCGCAAGCAAGTCACGGTACGTTATCTGGCTAAGTGATCCCGACGCCTCTCCGCAAAATCAACTGGTGCTCTGCAGATTCGAGCAATGCAAATAAAATGTGGAGGTAGGGATTAAAAAGAGGATCACAGCACAAGCTTCTCACAAAATTAAGTAGAATCCCAGTGGATAGAAAGAGGGGAGGTAGTCAAGGCAAAACCTCAAGAAGTGAAGGAGAGCAGTGGGTCTGTGCTCCCGTGATTTATTTCTCCAGTCCGACTTGACATCCTCGCAACATTCAACTCTTACAATCATCTATTATCTGAACAATCTTTCATTCTTTAATTCTTCATCATATTCAAAATGTTTGCCCCAGGTATGATCCCAATTCCATCCCTCTTTTGATCCAACTCGAGCTAACGATATAATTCTATCAAGGCCAAGAACAGATCTCCAAGGAAGAGATCAAGGTCAGCCTCGCGCCATGACTCAGCCCTAAGTGGCATCCGATACTAACATCTTTTACAGGCTGGTGAGGTTGAGGCCAGCCAGACCGTCCACATGGCTATTGCCGGTGGTTTCCTCCTTTACCTGTGTAAGTCGAATATCTAATTCACGAAGCCTCGAAAGAGCAGACAACTCGAGATGGGCCACAGAAGAGCCTAGTGAATTGAAAGCTAATATGTTCATCCGATACACAGCCCCCTTTGCCGTCGACTTCGTCCGCAAGTTCCTTTAAGCCGGTTGGCCCGTCTTCCGCTCCTCTTTCTTGCCTTTCCCGGACTGTAATCGACGAATCGCTGGTTATGATTTCGCGATGACATGCAGGAGAACTGGATAATTGATTTTTCCCCCTGGCATAACTTTTTCCCGGCCAAAATTTGGACAAGATGGAGCATGGGCACCTAATCTATGGACAGCCCTTGAAGCTCATCTACTATACCTTTTGGGTCTGCTGGGTAGTGTCGGTTGGGTGATGTATTATTATTGTGCATATGCTTGTTGTCATTTGTGTTTTGTGGGATATAGAGCAAATCAGAATAAGAAATTGCAATATACCAATTTCACAGAAACAGGAATCAATCTAGGTCTGGCCAGGTTGTGTTAACAGTAATGAGTCAACATGGCAGAGTGGAAGAGTAATTTGTGGCATACCTGGCATGGCTGGCATGGGACTACTTTACCTACTCAAAAGGCCTCAGCATTATTGTTTCTCTCATAGGTTGTACCAAGCCAGAGTATGTAGTTTCCGTCGTCTCACTACTAGCCGCTATAAGAAGAGACAGCTCACCGTCAGCTCGCTCTTGTTAGCAGAGTAACTAGTCAAGTAGTGCACACCTAGACGCGGCATGCTGTACTTTATCCTCATTTTCCGCATGTAGGCGATATTCCTAGGAAGCATTACCGTCATGCTAGTCTGCCTAAGTGAGCGTAAATACTTTTTGGTGAATAACAACAGCCTGCATATAAATACAAAGGTAAAGTGTCCACACAGGTCGATATATGCACATGTGACTGTATAATAAGTAGTCCAGGCATATACTGTATCACATTGGGGTTATCTCTACGTGCACGACAGTCCGCACTTGGATATGAACCATAAAACATTCTTCGAAATCACTTGTTACTTGGCTCAATGGTTGGATGCCATTT